TGTAGGCACAGTGGTGCATCTCGCTGTCAATTTGGGCTGCCATCTCCTCAAGAAAATAAGTCTGTGAGTTTGGCCAAATAAGATCTTCTGAAGCTGAGTCTATGAAGCTGATAATTTATCATATTTACAGAGCAGTTTGTGTCTCTGTCAGTTCCACTGACTGCTTATTAATTAGATTTATTAAAGTACTGTACTGCCGGAAGGGAAGATAATAAACCCAGGCCTACTCACTTACTTATAAAGATCCACTCTTTCTGTTGTATTGTTACCAGTATGCAATGAAATTAGGAGAGTTGCTCAATGTTAGCAGGTTCGGTAAATTTAGTCACAAAGAAGCAAAAAGAAGAGTTGCCCACTGTTTGCATCAAAACCCATTAGAACATTATTTATCTCGCAGCAAGGCATTTAGCAAGTTATGTCAAACCATTGAGCTAATTTGCATTGCATTAAGGTACACATAAAACATTCTTTACCAAAAACATCAATGTCTATCTCTGCGCAACATCAAGAACAATCTCTTGGTTAGATTAATGTTGACATTTCAATTGATTAGCATAACTTCTGACATTCACTGTAGGATATATTGCTCTAATGTTAGTTGCAGAGAGGAAACTGCCTCAACCTTCTGAAGGTTCAGGGATCATAATATTTGTAGATTATACGGCATGTTAGATTGTTTGTATTATGCTGTTTGATAATGCAGAAAGATAGGAGTAATAATTCAAATGTGTTTATTATCTGTTCACATAAGAACATTTCATGAACCAATGGACTGGATTTCTGTAAGGGTTGAGTCAAGAATGACAAGGTTTATCCTATATTTCATTCAATTATATTTTGCAACCAACATAAACGTAATTATTTCAGTAATACTTTATGTAACAAAATCCTGATGAAAACACTATAATTGAAAAAAATGTTTTCCTTTGCTATATGTATGTTGCATTATTGTATTGCTTTACACAGTATAATTTCTGTCTGTTCACACATGGACTACTCAAGCTGTGTACTTTTTTAAACGTTCATTTTATATATTCAGTATAAATAAATTGCTCGGTGTGGAGAGATCTTGATCTGGATTCTACACATTAAATCAATTGTACAGCATTACAGTAGATCTGTACATAATACTTAAACTAAGATAATCTCCCCGAAGAGTAGTTTGCACTGGAAAGTCAACCTTCTTTGCATTTTGTCACAATCAGTACGCTCTATCTCAATCTGTGTAACATACATACACCACCTTTGAATAAATATCCATTTTGCCTGTATTAGTTCAACACAGAAAAGCAGCAAAGTTACCATTAATGACAGCAACTGTTACAATGTGATTGCTCATGGCTGTCAACAAAAAACCTACAAACAGACAAATTGACTGAAAAACATGCCATTTCATAATAAATTCAACATCACAGATTTCGTATTGATGTTGAATCTGTTATGAAATGTTGCATTTTTTCACCCAAAGAATATAATTTCAGCACATGAATAACTGGTGAATTTTTGACCTATACAGTTCAGAAGGTCTTTACTATTACAGACCATACATTCAGTCACAGGAGTTGAAAGCAAAGCAGTTGTCACCCATGAAGTGACTCTAATGCTATTTAATTGTAAGTAAAATCTACAAAATCATGAAGTGAATATCTGTGTGGCTTGATAATGATATCATACTCTAGTTGGTTCATTACATAGCTCATTTAGCTTCAGCAGGTTCTCATACTAAAGAAGCCAACATAATAAATGTTAATGGTGCCTGTTAGGTCAAACAGCACAAGATTTTAATTTACTATAGTACACTGGACTATTAATCAAGTCATGCTTTTACTCTCCGAAGCATCAGTATACCTGCAAGCTGAAACAAAGTCACAGAAGTGCTTGCAATACTGCAGTTCCTTTGCACAGATGCATACCCTATGTTCATTTACACTTGGAGATTGAATTGCCACAAAAATACAAATATAAAATACTGTACAATTAACATAATACAATTTATATTGTGCCTTTCACGTCCTGAGGATGTCTCAAAGAGTTTAATATGCTGGCTGGGCACCCGAGGTGGGGGTGTTAGCCGAGCTGGATGGAGAGGGAAAAGATGATTGAAAGCGCAGTCAGAGAGGCACACCTTGAGATGGACCTTAAACGATGTAAAGGAAGGAGTTATTACAGGTATTCCTATAGGAAAGTGTTTGCCGATCAGTTTGATTAAAGTGCTTAACAGAGGAGAGGAAGTAGGCCTGGAACAATCCTTTCACATACACCAAATCAGCAACACAAGGAAGCATAGGTTTAGGGCTGCAAATTGCAAGTTTGGGAAGCACATCAGGAAGAATTTTTTTATACAGAGCATAACAAATCAGGATCAGGTGATTTTGGTGAGAGGATCCTCGACATATTTAAGAAATACTGTAGCTTGATATTGTAATGGAAAGATAGTAGAGTTGGTATTCGGAAAGGATGAGTGAGATGGGCCAAATGGTCTTCGACTGAACTTTGTCTTGTGGTCTTATGAAACAAGGATCCCATCTTCTTTGGAAATTCTCAGTAGTCTTTTGAGGAAGGGTATTATGAATTAACAAGTTTTTTGTTAAAATGCAGTGCATTAATAAATAACTTAATAGGAAATAAAAGTACGATGTATAGGCAAACTGTCCAACCAAAGGAAATTAGTTCCTGAGTGCTATTACAAATATATTTAAAGACAAAATTAATTCCCACTATATAAAGAGTTATGGAAATCACACATCTAAGAGCACTGCTCTCTGTTTGGAAAAAATGTTCTGCACACTTATGCACTCACATGTAAACACATGTATAAATATTTATCAGCACTTCCCACTTCAGTAACTACTGATACGCTCACCAGTAAACATGGTGCTCCAAGTCTGTGGATTTTACGAGTAGTTTTTGTTGCATTCATACAGCATTAAAGGCTAAAATTAAAATTAAAGCCCATTGATTGCTTTGTGTGAGTGTAATGGTATTCCGGTAAACATTTTCTATTTGACTATTACTCATGTTTTCTATAAATTTAGTGAGTAAACTATCTTTGCATGATTCTGAGAGATGCAAATTATTAAGCAGAGCATCCAGTACAAGAACATACCCAGCCATAGCAGGAGCAAATTCAATAAAAATGCTCTAAAATGGATTAACTGGAAAATTAAAAGAGTGGTTTAAAAAGATTTATAATGCTTGTAGAAGGAAGGAACAGGACAGCCCTTGGACTGAGTACTGGACTTTAGAGGAGTAGTTAAAAGGGAGTGTAAATTTGCAGCATGAACCTACCATTATGTTCTTAAACGAATAGAGCTTATGAATCTACTGTGGGTTCAATATTAGTTTGAAATTTAACTAGCTTACATTATGAGTCTTGACTGCCATTTTAGTGAAACAGAATTAGAGAATGAGAATACAGTACTTCATACCTCTCTGTGCTGGGTTTTAAATTGTTTGCCTAATGACACAAATCTCTTGTGATGTTAACCAGGTTAATGGAAATAATAGTAAGTCATGTCCAGGAACAAAAATAGAACTGAATTAAAGATTAAATGTCATTAAAGAAAGGAAANTTTTTTTAATTACAATTAATATTTGACTCACTTTGTAAATTGGCTACTTGAACCATTCTTTATTAGGTCAATATGGTATTATGATAATAACCTTATAGGACAGCGATGCTGTCTGGTTTTATGTCGTACGTCACAATGATTAACTGGACTTCATTTCATGCGGTAGTTCTATAATAAAGTAATTAAATATTCTCACATGAATAATTACTTACTGTGAAATAATTTTGAGTATGCCATCGCCGTTTTAATGTTCAACCCCAGCATCCAATATCGGACTGAACAAAGCTGGCAATACAACAATCAGACCTGAATGTCACTGGTTAAAAAATCAGCCAAGTGTGCAGTTGAGTGATTTATTAAGGACTTGTTTGCCTACAAAATACACAGTCACACTACTTTGCAGTAAATTCTGTGAAGTGCTTTTGTAGTGTCATCCTGACATGAAATGTAAGAGTATTTTTATTATTTCAGAATGGGTAAGTAGCAAACTGGTTTTTATTTCAAAAGACTATCAATTCTTTGATGTTTACTGCAGGAACGTGAAGATACAGCAAGGCAGAGCAAGGAGTGATCATATTCTTGAAGTAGCTCAGTGGTTAGAGCACTCGCTTTGCAAGCGAGAGACCTGAGTTCAATTCCAGGCAGGGCGAAACCTTGAGCAAGTTTCCTTACTCCACACGCCTAATAATAATCCCTCCAAAAAAAAAAACAATAATAAAATTGGTCATTTTCAATCCACGACTGTTTGTGGGACATTGCTGTGTGCAATTGACTGCCGCGTTCGCCCACAAATATAGAGTCAATTCACTTTACAGTATATTCTGTGAAGCGCTTTGGGAACGTCCAGAAGACGTGAAAAGCGCTATATCAAATGCAAGGATTATTATTATTATTATTAGTTAATATTTTCATTGATGGTTTGTGGCATCGCCATTGGCAACATTATAAGGCGTTATATCCGAAGCAAGGATTATTACAATCAATTGCTAATAACTGGATCCTGGTGTAATTTAGGTCATGGTGCTATCAATATCTCAGCCTCATTTATGTATACATTTAGATATATGCCTAACTCGCCACTCCACCCCCCACTGAGCCCTTTTCCTTTGGAGCAACGAGCTATCAGGAGTTTACTGTATATTACTACGTTGATGTGTGCAAATATGTGGATAAACCATCACATTCCTCTTTAATATATCTGCCTTCATTTGTTGCAACTCTGAGGAAAACAGACGTCTCCTAATGTCTCAAGAAGGTTTGGGGGGGGGGGATTTTTTTTTGGAGGGGGGATGGGGAGGGAGGGGAGTTTGAGGGATTATTATAATGATGATGATGATGACTATGAATCTTCGCCATCCCTTTAAGAGGCGGTCGGTGTGGAACCCGTCTGCTCTGTGGATGGATCTGCGTAAAGCTCCCCCTTTCCTCTCCTCCTCCTCCTCCTCCTCCTCCATCATCATCTCCTCCCATCATCTCCTCCATCTGCCAACACAGTCATAAAGTCGGTGCAAACACAACGTTGTTGGGGAGGAGGAGAAGGAGTGAGTGAGTGGGGAAGAGAGACAGAGAGAGAGAGACAGAGAGAGAGAGACCTCACAGCCAATGCACATCCCCAGGAACTGCTCAGTACTTTTCTGAAAGTGAGCAGCGCCGCTCCCATGGGCGAAGCGACCATCAGAGGACACTCGAAGGCATCCAAACGGCTCAAGAGCATCCGCAGGAACTCCATCAACCGCAGGATCTATGCTGCGGCTTACGAGGAACACGAGAACAGGTGAGGTTTGGGGCTCCGGGACCACCCACTCACCCACTCACTCACTCACTCACCCACAGGTGTGACAGCCCCTCTCCTCGCCCGTCTGGGAAGAGGCTGATGGATGGATCCAACGTGAAGCCCAAGTTAAAAGTACTTTGGGGCTTTAGGACTCCAAAGCGCTTGAGGGTGAGAGGGTGATGGGGGGGGGGGGGGGGGGGGGTGATAGGTTGTGGGGGGTGTTGGGGGGGTTTGGGGGCAAGAAAAGAGGTGAAAAAAAGTTGAGGAATTTTTTTAAATTAAAATTAAAAGACACACACACACACACACACACAAAAAAAATCAATGCGTTAAAAACCTCCCGTTTCAAGGAAGTTTCTCAACTATTTGAAATGATGAGCAAAAACACACACTCAAAGAAAAGGCGATTGGTTTTTTTTTAGTGGAGCAGTAGTTTGCTTTGCTTTGCTTTGCTTTGCTTTGTTGGTTTATTGGAGCGTCTGTTTGGTATCTGACTCGTTCATCAATGCTTTGTGTGTGTGTGTGTGTGTGTTTGTGTGTCTTTGCTGTAAATCGCAGTAATTCGGAAGATGATGATCAGGAGGATGGGAAAGCAGACTGTAAGGACCCAGAAGAAATATTTCAGAACATTCAGATGCAGAAAGAAATGATTTCCAACATTCGCTGCCGACCCTGGCCAATGAGACAGAAACTCAAGGCGCTCAGGTAAAATGCGCTAAACGAACAGCGACGGGATACTGTGGATTTGTGTGTTAATGTGTGTGTGGTGTGTGTGTGCGCTTTGATCCATTCCAGTGACTATAGAAAGAATACACTCTTAAATAAATGGACCCTCTACTGGGTGCGTAATAGTACTCTCGTCTCTATAATGGGTTGCCCCATCGGTTGTCTTCACTAAGGATGCCTTGTCACTTTGCTGCTTGTTAATTTCAAGTCACATTCATCTCATCCGAATCAGTCAGTCGCTGCTATCTACATTTGTACTCAGACAGACTGAGAACATCAGCACGCAAGCCGGGAACTGGTCAAGAAGCAAGAAATGTGAAATTGTGAAGAATAATTGTTGAAATTGTGAAGAGCGAAGCAGAAAGTACTGCATTGTACATTGCAATCCATTGCACATTTCACACTGTAGTGCTTGTTGTAAAAGGGAGCTGACAATTTTCGGGAGGGATAAGGATGGGAATAAAAACATGTTTTCGAATTGGGTTCATTTCCATCCTTTTTGTATTGCAATTTTCTGCTGTCCGTTTTAACCCTGCAATCCTAAAGATACACTGCGTGTGCACTGGCTTCATGTTCTTATAACCGGGCCAGTTCATTTCCTCAGGCAGCTGCAGCGACTACGTAATCCTATGCATTAAATTGGTGAGTGAATTGGACTGAGAGAGCCAGTGAGCGAGTTTGTTTTGCACTTGCTCTTTTTAAGCGCTCCGAGACACTGTCCAGCATGAAGGGCACTGAATAAATGCAAGTAGTTGTTCTTGTTGTTCCCGTTTTATTTTTATTTTGCAGCGCACAATAGATATAAGTAAGTTAGGGTCACACATTACAATCTTTACATCCATGAAAGTACAGAGTTAAAGCAGGAGTTGTTCCTGTAGTGCGATTACATTTTTCACTTTGCTCCATTGATCCGGGTAAGATGCTGGTATGATTTTGGTATGGTTTGCTTTGGAGGATGGGGGGTGGGGGGAAGGGAGATGATGAGCAAAAAAACTTAAGAAAAAACGATGGCATATTTGGAGGAGACTGACACCAACTATACTGTGTTCACTGTCAGTGCCTTGGGACATCCTCCTGACGTGAAAGGCACTCTATAAATGTAATTTTGTTGTTGTTGTTATTTTCTAATCAGAGAAACAGCTCTAAATTTGGCTACCAGGCACATCCATAGCCTCAGACTGCCCTTGACGTTTTAGCGTTAGGAAATATTTGGCTATTATTTTTCCAACATTGCAAACTCATGTTGAAGATAATGTTATTGTTGTTGGATCCCCACTGAGAGCTTAAAACTCAGCAGTGCACAGGATGCAGTTAGACTCGTTCAAAGCTTCGCAAGGAATTGGCAGATCAAAGTGACTTTTGTGCTCTATTTACACTAAAGGTGATCAATAGCTAGAAAGGATAGTTGAAGCCAAAAAATTGGACTTGATCAAAAAAAAACATCTTGATGGTGAAGGCATAACAGTAGGGCTGGTGGTCTGGAAGGGTGAAATCTAATAGGATCACTCTTGTGATCTTGCTATTTATATCTAGTTATATTGATCATCTTTTGTTAGTATAATAAAAAAAGCATTTTACACTAGTCCAATACCTACATTATAACTGTTTAATAAGATGAATATGCTCAATTATCTGTAGTGGAACCCTGCTTCACAGATAAGAAATTGCCATTTAATTCACTGGAACTTTTTTAATTAAATCCCACTGATTTTACATTAAGAGAGCTCCACTGATTTCATAGCCAGCATTTTCAAGTGTAGGTACTCCACTGTTCAAATTATAGCACTGTAGATTTTTTAAAAATAAATCAATACTTCACAGATGAGGTACCTTAATACTAAAAACTTGCATAGAATGAATTGGACAATAAATGCTTGACGTTTGTTTGATAAATGTTTTCAGCCAAGCCGAAAATAAATTATTTACTTTATTGCACCTACATATCCATTTACCAGCCCCCTTGTCCTCAACACCAGGTCTCTTTTGTAATAAAAAGGGAATTGACAATATTTTCAAAAAAATACACTAGGAGAAGGGAGTAAATGATCCGTGTACACTTACTATATCGAAATGATCTATTTTCATTATTTTTTCAATACACTTTGGGCAAAGTGGATAAGGTAAGCAGGAGAATAGCTTTTGTACATGTGACAGAAATGACAATTACGTCTGGCCCCTAAAGTACACTCTGCTGTGATATATTGATCAGGCAAGTAATAAGAACATACGAAACACTAGACAAAAAAAGACCAAGGTCCATCTAGTTCACCTTCCACCTTCCTGGCAGTCGAATACACATATGTCCCAAACTACCTACGTACTATATTCCATAATGTTATTTCTTAAAAAAAACTATCTAATCTGTGTTTGAAAGAATCAACACATTGTGCTTCAATCGTCTCCCTGGAGAGTCTGTTCCACAGGTTCACTATTCGTTCACTGAAATAATGTTTATGTAGATTTGTTCTGAATATACCCATCTTCGATTGCAGGCTGTGTCCTCTGGTTCTACTTTTCTGGACAAGTTGAAACAGCCTGTCATGATCCAGAATCTTTAGAATCTTAAAGAGAGCAATCATGTTGCCTCCCAATCTTCTCTTTTCCAGTGTGAAAATGCGCAATTTACTTAGTCACACCTCATAGACCAGTCCTTCCATTGCCTGAATCATTTTGGTTGCCCTCCTCTGTATTGTCTCGATTTCTCCAATATCCTTTTTGTACTGCAGCGACCAGAACTGTACACAGTACTCGGAGGTTTGGTCTCACCAATGATTTATACAGTGGCAGGATTACCCCACTATTTTGGTTTGCAATTGATCTTTTGATACATCCCAACATCTGGTTTGCTTTACTCACTGACACAGAGCATTGGTGCGAGAGCTTCAATTTATTGTCAATCAGGTCCTTTTCATTTTCCAAACATATTACTTTCCTTCCATTCAAATAATAGTCCCTTCCAGGATTTTTTGTCCCCATGTGAAGTATTTTACATTTCTCCAATTGAATTTCATCTGCCACTGATCTGCCCAATTCCCAAGTATGTTCAAATCCTCCTGTAACCTATCTTGCTCAGCTTCGCAATCTACCACCTTCATTAGCTTGGTGTCATCTGTAAACTTAGCCACTGTGCTTGCGACTCCTAGCTCCAGATCATTTATAAAAATATTAAACAAAAGAAATTCCAAAACAGACCCTTGTGGTACGCCACTGGTAACATTTTCTCAGTCTGATGACATTCCCTGTACCACCACCCTCTGGGTTCGTCCAGCCAACCAATTGCATATCCGTTGTAACATACCTTCACTGATTCCTGCTTTTTTTTTTACTTTCAGTGCCAAAGGCCTTGCATCAAAAGCCTTACAGAAATCCAAATATACAACATCCACAGCCTTACCCTTATCAAGCTCCCTTGTCACACCGTTAAAGAATATAGAATAGAGCCCTGAGAGCCCCAGGTCATTTTGGATCAGGGAACCCTTCTTAACTAAGATATTATGAGACAACAAGAAACTGACCTTTCGGACATCCTCCCGACATGAAAGGCGCTATACAAATGTAATTTTTGTTGTTTGTTGGTTTGTTTGTTGAAAAATAGGTTGCAGACATTATTAATAATAAGAATCCTTACTTTTTATATAGCCTCTTTCATGTCCGGAGGATGTCCCAAAGCGCTTTGCAGGATATACTGTAAAGTGCATTGACTGTGTGATTTGTGGGCAAATTACTTACTAGAATGTAATGAATTTGAGGTAGGTTGCTGTATACTTGCCCAGAACCTCCCTCTCCCCCAGTATACCTACAAATAGTGTCAAAACTGGAAAAGCTGAAGAAGCAGAAGTAATAGTGCAAGTGAATGAGTGTGTAAAGGCCTGGGATAGCAGAAAGTCCTGATAAAAGCCTTAAAATATTTTGCTTGAAACAGAATGTGTTGCAGGTAATAAAATTGCTCATTCACTTCATGGCTCTTTATGGGACATTACTGTCCACAAAATTGACTGCTGCGATCACCCGTAAAACACACAGTCACTGCACTTTACAGAATATCCTGTGAAGTACTTTGGAACATCCGCCTGAGGTGAAAGGCACTGTATCAAATATAAGGATTATTGTTATTATTATGAATAAAATGAGTATGTGGTTAAGTATGGACTGTCTTTATGGTCTTCTGTAAAGAGCTTTGAGATGGTTATTTTACGCAAAATGCTCTATTTGAGTTGCTATACTAAATGGTCAATATCAATGATGTCTTTTTAAAGCTTCACATTCTCTTACCTATGTGATGCATTACATCGGCTAAATAACACCAGATACATCAAACGCCAGGGCATGCCAGAATTGTCACTTCTGGTAATCTGTGAAAAAGCAAATTGGAATCCAGTAGAATCGATTTTCCAAGGAAACACTAAATGGTTTAAATCACATATTTCAGTTTTGCTTGTTGAGGTAGATAGAATATATACTTCATATTTTGTTGTCGTTACAGGACTGCAGTGTGGTGCAGCAATAGTGAAGAGTATGGATGATATGGGTTCTTTGGTGTTTCTTTACAGACAAGCCAAAGAAATTGTGCTGAAGTATGAAGGCAGGTTGACAAGGACAAGAGGCTATCAAGCAGCAGGAGCAGAAGTAAGTCAGTTTTGGCACAAACATTCAGCCCTTAATTCATTTTGATATTCTCTGGTAGGCTTTTTAATTTAAACTCTCATGAGTTTACTCTGCCTGCAGTAATTAAACTGCTCCCGCCCTTTAATGAATATTTATAACACCGCAGTGTAATGGCTTTAATTAAAATGCTCAGAGACTTGTAATAAAAGCTTCTCAAGTCATAAAATTAAATTACCATTTTGTCACCTGTATCAATCGTTGTATGTTTGGAGATGTTTCTTTCACTCCGTGAAATTGGTTACTTTCCTAGTAAATTTTTAACTTGTGTTCATTGCTTCTTGTCAAGATTACTTATCTGTGTAAAAAGAAGTGATTGGCTGTATTATTAGGGTTAACCCTGCCTGCAGATTAAATGCCAGTCATTTGGCATGGTAACAGAGCTTTTCTGTATTTAGTGGTGCTGCCTAATAGCTTATTCCAATCTATTTGTTTCATTTTAGCTTTGGAGAAAATTTGGGCGTCTGGCCTGCAATATAATAGTGCTGTTCGTTCCATGGGAAATGAGAATAAAGAAAATAGAAAGTGAGTAAGAAACAGTAAACGTTCAGAAAATATTCGTGCCTGTGGAATCGGCATATTTATTTATTAAACCAACATATTTATTTTGTGATTTTATATAAATTAGTTTACAAGATATGTGTCTCATTGATGGTACATGACCCTGAAAGGCTGTAACAAAAGATAAAATTATCAACAAACCTTTTGGATGAGGGTAGGAGAAATATTTTGATATGAAGAGTTGTAGGGGCATGAAATGTCCTGGCAAAACCTTGGTTGAAGCTTGCTTAAAAAAATAAATATTACTATATTACTATGAGGCAAGAGAAAAAGCAGGGAAATGGGACTAAATGGAACCGGTGGATACGATGGGCTAAATGGCCTCCCTTCTGGAAAAAGCTTTGATTGTTTAATCAAAATGTAAAAAAATTACTGTAGACATAATTTGTAAATTTATATTATATAACATCCTGCATGCGGGTAATGTCTCAGAGCACTTAAATATGACATATTTCCAAACATATAAAACAGAAGCAAACATCATACTATTGCTTGTTGCATTTCGCCCACAAAATATACAGTCTATTCACTTTACAGTATATTCTGTGAAGTGTTTTGAGAAGTCTCGAAGATGTGATAAGGCACTATATCATTATTATTATTATTATTATTATTGTATCAAATTATTTCCGTTGTCAGGTCATTTTGGCTCTGGAGTTGCTTCATATTTTATCTTTTTGAGGTGGATCTTTGGAATCAACATAGTTCTTACCATAATGACAGGAGCATTTGTTATATTACCAGAGGTAGGTGTGTGGCTTTTCTACAGTACAGAGCTTCGAATATTCTCTATGTTTTTGAAATAATCTGTTTGTGCATTGAACTGGAAAATGATTGTACTGCAAATTGCATCTGTGTATATTGGTTAATAGTTTAATTTTATATTTAAAACAAAGTACAAATGTCCTAGGTGATGTTACAGAAAAATGCCTTTTCTTTCATCTTAACCTTGTAAAATAATTTCACTATATTATGTTGTTACCGCATTACAGATATAACGTTAATGTTTTCTCATGCAATTCCCTCCTAAGATTTATCTAATCGTTCTAATACTCTGAGATGTCCGACAAATAAAATCAGTAATGAGATCGCATCTGTGTTTTTTTCACAAGCTTTTAGCAGGTGCTACGTTTGGAAGTATTCCCAGCAAGACTATTCCGCCCGAGCACATAGAATCTGCACAAGACCTGGACACCATCTGGTCACTTGGGGCAAGGCTATCAACATGTTTTATTACTTTGCCGTTATTACACCCCAGTGAATTGCACAACCATTTAATTAAGCCAGTTTCTTGCTCTGACTTTCATTCTGTCCACTGTACAGGGCTACCTCCAGTATTCTGTTTTGTTTTATGGATATTATGGAAACAAGAGGAAGATTGGACGTGCAGGCTATCGCTTGCCATTGGCTTATTTCCTGGTTGGAATAGCAGTGTTTGCCTACAGCTTCATTATTCTTCTACGAAAGTAATTTTTATATTCAAAAACATCTGTGTGTGTGTGTGTTTGTGTGTGTGCTATAAATGCAAGATGTAAATTACATATTGATATACATTTGCTATCAATTTTTTATTTAGATTGAGTCGAGATATAAAAAGATGTTCATTTGTGTCGATCTGTTTTTTGTATAATTCACAATCGGTTGCTTTTGTTTTTTTTTCCCCCTTTGCTTTCCCTTTAAAATTTTATTTATCTAGGTTTCAAAAACCCACAATGTTTACGGCTACAAAATATGTCAACTTGATTTAAATCATTGGTATACATGTGCCTCAGAGGTTTCAAGTTACTTTCCTCTTTTAAATAACATAATTTTCGGGGGGAAATTTCCGATGAGGTATTTCACATTTTAAATTCAAGGAAAGTGAAAGCTATACCTTGATTAAAATTAAAATGTATGTGTGTATAATTTGTTTGTGTGTGGTGTCTGTGTGTGTGTGGAAATGCTGCTGGTTATTTAAATTGTAAAGATGAAAATTGTTAACCTGTAATATCCTATGAAATACGTGCGATGCAACAAGTATAGTTTGACTTGTTCAGTATGTACATAATTGGAGAAATTATTGGTGAACCCAGTACCAAATGAAAAACAAATGTCTTTGCAATTTAACACCTATGGAGTCGGAGTTTATCTGCAGTGAAATATTTATCAAGTGTCACATGTCAAGTCGAACAAAATATAGTAACTTCTTAATTGCATTGTTCATTAGAATGGCAAAGAACTCTCGGCTAAGCATGGCCAGTGCATCTGACGAGAACTACACTTTTTGCTGGAAGGTGTTCTGCGCCTGGGATTATTTAATTGGCAATCCTGAAGCTGCGGAGAGTAAAACAGCCGCAGTAATCAACAATATTCGAGTAAGTTATCCGCAACTTCGTAAATTGGAATAATATTCCGAACTGTTCTAGTCATTCTATGTTTGTGTTGAGTTCATTCCGAAACTTTCATATCTTTCAAAAAGGATGACATTTTACTAACCTATGGGTTCAAAACATTTTTTTATTAAGGAAGCGATCTTAGAAGAGCAAGTGAAGAAAAAAGAAAAAAGCTTGTATGTATTGACTCTGGGATCTAATGCAAACCAGGTTCAAAAGAATCTCAGGTGTTGTGCTGAATTTTATAACTGTGGAATGCAAAATCATATCTTATTTGAATTCCTTCTCAGGGCAGTGTTAATAAGTTTAAGGATTCTTGCCAATATTCTCGTGCTTCTTTCACTCGCTGGGAGTATTTATATCATTTACTTTGTCGTGGATCGCTCACAAGAGTTGGAACGCACTAAGATTGAGTTGTCACTGTGGGAAAAAAACGAGGTAAGCTTCTGTCTGTGAAACTGCAGTGGGTCCAACACAACTCTCTGAAGTGCGACAATAATATAACATAATTATGCAAATGCAGTCAATTGTTTTTTTTCTTTAGGTGAGTGTCGTGGTATCACTCATCACCATGATCGCTCCCTCTGTTTTTGAACTTGTGTCTCAACTTGAGATGTTGCATCCCAGAACCACACTGCGCTTCCAACTGGGCAGGTAATAGAAGCCTAGAACTGCCTTGTCTGTCACCCCTGAGCTGTCTTCTGCAGATATTACAAGACAAGATAAAATCGATTGCTTTCCTAAATTGATGTCATCACTAATAAACATCAGAGAATTACTGCCGTAATAACATACTGAACAGCATAAGTTCTGTTCTCCTGTCACGTAGTGCTGTGTCAATGGCAGTGCTTGTGGCACAAAAGCAGTGGCTGTGTTTGCTCAAATCCCAAACATCAAAATATGATGGCAGGGAGTGAAGATTCAGGTCTCAAACTGGTGATGCGAAATATTATTTAACTGGTTTAAAAAGTGAAACGTGGCTTGAAAAACATATTATATAATCTGTACCTGTATCCAAAACATCCACAGCCGCAAAATTGTAGTTACCATTTCCTAGATTGCGAGATTAGGTGTCGGTTGATAGCGCTCTCGCCTCAGAGTCAGGCGGTTGGGGGTTCAAGCCTCATGTCTGGACTTGGAACTCGTAGTTTAAACTGACATCAGTGCAGTACTAGAGGAACTCTACATTGTTACTTAGATTGAGATGATGATGAAAAAATATCTGCAATGATTTATTGATTTTGGATTGAAAGCAATACATCATTTTGTTTTTACCCAAGTTGTTTAATGCAGAATATCACTTTGTTTGAAATGCAGGGTTCTGGTGTTGTACTTGGGCAACCTGTACAGTTTAATCATTGCTCTACTGGATAAAGTGAACAGCATGAGCATTCCTGTAAGTTTGTTGCATTTTAGTTTAAGATAATGTATACATTATAATATAATGTAACTTATACAATAGAAGACAGTAGATGGAACTATAGTTAATCTGTTGAGACAAGGCACATTGACACTGCATTGTCGTGCTGGGGAGGAGTGTTGTATTGTCAGATATGCCGTCCTTCGGATGAAGTGTTAAACCAAGGTTGTATCTACCTCGACGTTAAAGATCTCATGACACTATTCAAAAAGAAAAGAGAGTTCTCATAGTGGTTTGGACTACAATCCATCAGATAAAATTGGACATTCACTTCATGAGTATTTGCAGACATTTATGTGCGCTAATTGGCTAGAATGTTCACCCACAAATATAGTCTTCAGAGTAATTCCTATGAAGCTGGTTGAGACATCTCATGAAGTGCTATATCAAATGCAAGCACTATTATTATTATTATTCAAACTGTCACTAACCATATTCCCAAACTCAGGAACATACTATTCCCCAAATTCTCTTTAAATGCCAGGAATTTATTGGCAACACGCTTAACTAGATAATAGCCTTGACTTGTCTTTCAATTTAGCACCTACGCGTGAACTGTTTTGCAATTCTTTGGGAGATAGTGTTGTTTAATGAATGCATTAAATACCTCACAATCAATATGGTGTCAGGTGTAGCAGGCAAAACTACTCACTTCCACACATTTGGAGATAAGTGCAATCTTCACAGATAATTAAACTCCAATGTGCAAACCACCATTAGAAGTTCCATTTATGAAAGGAGCCATTTAACCAGTTTATAAATATTAATCCATCCTAAAGTGAAATGGACACTCGTCCACAAAACACACAGTTCACTGCATTTTACAATACATCCTCTAAAATGCTTTGAGATGTCCTCCTGACAAAGGATGCTTGTAGTAATACTTTAAAATGGCAGAAAAACTTAAAACTGTCTGCATGATGTATATTGAATCATTCTTTTCAGGATAATTCTACTGATGTGGGCACTTCCTTTTTGGCAACGAGAGCTCTCCCTGAGATAGAAAACTTCTCTACAGCTGTACCCGAGATAGGATTCAATCACAACATCACGTTCATCCTGGAAGAAGACCAAGAAACACCCATCATCATGTCTAACATGACGGCCTCATTTGATTACAACACACTGACCCAGCAAAATCAATGTTGGGAAACGTATGTTGGGCAGGTCTGTATAACTCTCGTTGCAAGAAAAATCTTTTATAATTTATGTGAAGTGTAAATGTTTTTTGTTTCAATGGTATGTTGATTCACAAGCTAACTGCACTTAAATTAAAGTGGCCTGGGAAGTTACTCGGGGAAGGAATGAATTAGATTCTTAGTGCAGGGTTTGGGTCCTGGGTTTGAGTCTCAGCATTTTCAGAAGGTTTTTAACCTAGTCTCAGCAGGTACCAAATCCTTTGCCAACTTCCCCAGCCATGGAGAGGACCTGACCTGTGAGCCTGGGGTCGGGGGGGGGGGCGGGAGAGAGAAGAGAAGCTTTTCTGTCCTGGGATTAGGGAGTGAGAAAGGAAGTAGGCATGAAGCAGCTCCATAGCTTCATCAAAGCAATTACGTCACAGCAAAAACATGGCAGCTGTGTAACATGTATTGGACTTTGTTGTTGTATAGAAATAAGATGCAACAGATAGAAGAAATAAAACAGTTCCAGCAGGATAAACGGTAGAATAAGCATGACTGCTGCATGTGAATTTGTACATTCAATATCCAGACCATTGGACAGCAAGTGGTCAGTTAATCATACCTTGTCTTGTGTACATTAATGGAAGGCAGTGAACTTAATGCNAAAAAGGCCCTTGTGTAGTCAGCGATATGGATTTCAGCTGCTACCCACCAGGGCTCAGTGCAGATCAAGATCATTTGTGTGTGTCTTCCTTCAGGAGATGCTGAAACTGTCCATTATTGACATGATCTTCACCGTCGCAAGCATCCTGCTCATAGATTTTTTCCGTGGCCTTTTTGTACGATATTTAAGTGACTGTTGGTGCTGGGATCTGGAGACTAAATTTGTGAGTACTGAACACCACCCCTTCTCCTCTCTCCCTACGGAGAGATTGTGTCATTGCGCTCATCGTATTGCTTTGTGCTCTTAATTCTAACTTTTTGAATTAAAATCTTTTGCAGCCCGAGTATGGAGAATTCAAAATCGCCGAGAATGTTTTGCATTTAATATATAATCAAGGAATGATATGGTATGTACAGGATATGTAGAGGGGGATGGATCTCATGAGGCAAATTTAGGTCAAATTATTGTAGTTTTAAATAACTGTGACTGTGATAATATCTTCCTAGGGGTGAGAGGGGGTCAGGGAGAAGAAGGCAAATTAGGCCTTCCTAATGCTGAGTCTGTTTCAAGGTCACATATTTGACAAGGGAATGTCAGAATCAAGAATTTTCAATATGGAAATTTCCGTGTGTCTGGAATGGAACGCGCACTGTCTCCCTGGAGGGATGCATCTTGCTTACCTAATTCTGGAGAGTACTGAGCACAGGTTGGCAAGAGCTGAGGCTTGGGGACACCAGAATGTGGGTTGGGGGACTATTAGAGTTTAACCAGCTAAAGCCACATTGCTTACCATTGAGAGCACTGTCTGGCAAGTTTCCCACTGCTTTTCCAGCAAGGACCACCCTAGCAGTTAGAGCTTTGGCTTGCAGGGTTAACAGGAACAACAACAACCACAACAAGATTTCACTTATGGAGCGCCTTTCACGTTGGGAGGACGTCCCAAGGCGCTGGACAGGGGAGAAATGGTCAGGGTGAGCGCAGGGAAGGGAGGGAGCGAGGAGGGGTGAGAGAGTCGAGAGGGGAGCTGAAGGCACAGTCGAAGAGAAAGCTCTTGAGACTGGCCTTGAAGGAGGAAAGGGAGGAGGTAAGGCGAAGGCCCTGGGGGATGGAGTTCCAGAGCTTAGGTGCTGAGAGGCTGAAGGCCCGGCCACCGATGGTAGGGCGGGGGCTGTGGAGCAGACCGGAGCCAGAGGAACAGAGGGTACGGGCAGGTAAGTAGGGAGATAGTAGGTCGGAGTGGTAGGAGGGAGCAAAGCCGTGAATGGCCTTGTAGGTGAGGATGAGGATCTTGAATTCGATCCTCTGGGGGATGGGGAGCCAGTGGAGGCGAGCGAGGGTGGGAGTGATGTGGTCGCGAAGCCTGGTGCTTGGGATGTAATTAGTAATTTCCTGTGAAGTGCTTTAATAATAACGATTCTTGCATTTGATATAGTGCCTAATCTTTAATCTTCAGGATGGGTGCTTTCTTTTCCCCGTGCCTTCCAGCGTGCAATGTTCTCAAACTGATTGGACTCATGTACTTAAGGAGCTGGGCAGTTTTGACCTGCAATGTTCCACATCAACAGGTGTTCAGAGCTTCCAGGTCAGTTCAGATCCTCACCGTACAAACTGCTGTATCGATGTATCATTTCATTTATAATCTATAAGGTTGCCTAGCTAAATATGCAACTCAATCAGAATGTAGCAGCCAATCATTGATTCAATTCAAACAAAGACAATACATGTAAAATGTTGTGGAAGACATGAGTATTATTCAAATTAATTAATCAATGTATAAACTGTGGTGATAACCAGTTTACTAAAGGTGAATTAAATCTTTGAGCATGTCTCTAGCACACCTGGACACAATACGAAAGACTTATTGTCTGAAATATGACCTCTCTTTTATCCCTGGCCAGTATCCTCTATCTCCATCACAATTTGGGGCCAAAGGGTCTTCTTCACCCAGACCAATCTTGTGATGTCTTGTGACTTTTTTTATCTTTAAGTATTTTATCAATATTACCGTGTTCATCACTGCTCTGAACTATGTTCCATCAGCATTCCTATGTTCCTAATCCTGAGCCACGTTCTGCATTCATGGGAAGAAATAACCACATGTGCTCATTGTAATAATACGAAGAGGCAATGTGCTGTGCTTCATCTTACTATTGTGTTTGGTGATACACAGATGATGTGTACTGCAAACACATGTTTTTTTGTTTAAAGACGCTCTTATTTTTCCTTTAGGTCCAACAATTTCTATCTTGCCATGACCCTGTTTATGTTGTTCTTGTGCATGTTACCAACAGTCTTTGCCATTGCAAGATACAGACCATCTCCCAATTGTGGTCCTTTCAGGTAATGAACATTTACTTACCAAATGATTCACAGGTCATCTATTTATAGGATTGTAATTTATGGTATTGTACATGCATCATTGCGCCAAACTTCATCTCGATCTTGTTTGTTTTCTCAGCGGCCAAGATAGAATATATGACATTCTGTCTGAAACTATAGTGAATGATTTTCCCGTCTGGTTCAACACCGTAATGGGTTATGTCACCAGCCCTGTAGTCGTTCTTCCTGCTTTGCTCCTTCTTTTGTAAGTATTCAGTCAGTTAAATATAAAAGCTTATATTCCTTTCTGAAGCCACTACTTTATCAATGTTCTTGTTTTCTGTGCACTGATAATTTGAACTAAAATAAGTTGTGTGTATTATAGAGTTGATCAGCATGAAGCATTTTTTGTTATCAGTAGACTTGTGGCTGTTGCAATTGGATCCTTGGGTAACATATTTTGTGTATTTTTACAACAATTCTTTTTGACGGGAAGATAATTTTCATTAACAGTGGGAAGAAGGAAATCCTGTTTATGTAGTGTTTTGCAATTTATGATGTGCAGTGGTTCTAATTAATAAAACGAGCTTAATTATAGGACTAGCGGCAGTGCATTCTGCAAATTATTCAGTTAGAAGCTAATACATAGATTGTAACTGAAGTACGACAAGTCAAAGCAACTGAATCTTTCGTAATACAACACTGTAAATGTGTTCCGATGTTAAAAGTAGGAAGATGTTAAGATGCAAACATTGTTATTTGACTAATTTATTTTCTTTACCTCTAGTATGCTGATATATTATCTTCAGTCAATTGCCCGCTCGTTAAAATTTACGAATGGTCAGCTCAGGATGCAGCTCCAAGTTGTAAGTATTTGAAATGTGTTAACCCTTCTACATAAATAATCAATTATTTAAGAAATTGCTACAGGTAAATAATAGGAGTATTTGTCTTTCCTACAATAGGAAAGAACTGAGGATAAGAAGAAAGTGTTACAGATGGCAGTCGGTATGAGAGCTCCTGATTTTTCATAAGAACTTGTATTTCGCCCACAAAAAATATACAGTCAGTTCACTTTACAGTATATTCTGTGAAGCCCTTTGAGACATCTCAAAGACGTGATAAGGCCGCTATATCAAATGCAAGGATTATTATTATTGAATTATTTAATAGACTAAAGTAAGAATGTTTAGAAATTCATAACTGTACTTAAAAAAACTATTTAACAAAGAAAACCAATCTGTTAATCCCTCTGTGCAATATTTAAATTCTTTCTTAACTATTCTTTAGAATATGTTGTTTCGCTACAAAATTTAGGGATATTTTTTATTTTTAAAATGTTATTGGAATGCACTTTGAACATTCTGGGGGCAGTTCACCTATAACATAGTAGTCACTGTGCACTTTATAGTAAACAATGTGAAGAGCTTTGAGACATCCTCCCGATGTGAAAGGTGCTAAATAAATGTATATTGTGTGTACATATCATTTGAACTATTGATGAGATGTATTGTTATTCGCAAACATTGTACAGATCTGTATTTTATAGCATTCCAAGTTAAATTTTTCTGTGCTTTTTCAGCACGATTTCAACATTTGGAGGACGGAGACAAAACAAATGAACAAGAGAGTGATATCACTAGCCAGGGGGAGTCATCAATTCGCTCATCACCTCGAAGGAATGGAAGTGTCACAAACTTTGACTCCCCAGCCCGAGTCAGCCGGGGAAACAGCATTACCAGTATCTCACAACACGTACCACATGCTGTAGTTACAAGACCTGCTAACATACCCTCAAACCCGCCAGCAGCTACTGCACCAAAACACAGGATCGAGCACATTTCCCAAAGGTCATAATCGTTCTTTTTCATAATAATAATCCTTGTGTTTGATATAGAGCCTTTTCACGTTGTCGAGACACCTCAAAGCGCTTTACAGAATATACTGTAAAGTGAATTTGACTCTATATTTTTGGACGAACAGGATGGTGTTGGATCAATGAGTTTGTTCAAAAAGCATAATTAACCCACTGCTGTATGTTTCTTCTCCATCCTCAACAGGCATCCTGGGATTTTGCAAGCTGCTTCAAGCGGTCTGTACAAAGCCAAGGCACCGTACAGCCAGGCAGCTAAATTCCCCGAAGATATCCGAATTGATCCCGAGTTCAGAAAAGGTGCTAGGCCGTTTCACTGCTCATCGGCAGAGGTAGCCCCTCTCTCGTTTGTGGGCCGCAGAGCCCACTCCACGAGATACGTAGTGGTGAACGAGCACGCATCGCGAAAACGACTCCTACGATCCGCCGTCAGAATCCCGAAGCACTACAAGGTGGACGAGGGGGCAGAGATTGTGGAAATGTTACCGAGGCATCTGAAGAGGTACACCGTTCATGGAGCGCACAGGCCGGTCTTCCAGCTGCATTTGAGTGAGGAAGAGGAGGATGAGGATGAAATGGAGCAAGAATCGTTTAGCAAGGGTCGCCCTCACTCACTGTCAGATCTCCAGCAGCCAGCCCGCTTCTATATCGGCGACAGCACAGATGGTCGAATATTAATCGGAAAGGACCTGACCAAGATTCGCTATGAGTTATACAATGAAAACTGCGACTTGGAATGGGATCAGCCTGATCCTGCCACCTCCTATACTCGTAGGAACAGCAAAAGCATGGGATGTATCAACCAAGTTGCGGGACCTCATGTGAAATGGAAAACGAAACACAAAGCAGACCAGTCATTAAACCAGTCGACAGAATCAGACTCTGTTTCACTCGAGTCCAGCAGTGATCAGCAAAACAGCAGCACTGACCAGTACATCCAGATCATCCACAACAAGGAGAAGTGCTTCAACCCTTCCAGTGAGAAGCTGAGTAGAGCCAAATCTAAAACAAGCATTCAGCTTAATGTCACAGAGCCCAATGATCTGATATGTTCAAATGTGTAGGTAGGAATGGAATTCTTCTTTCCCCCTTACTACTTTGATAGTTGGGGGAGAATAAGTCCTACAGGTTTAAATTGGGCACATTGTTGTACCTTCATATGCACATTTTGATCATAGAAGTAGCTATTAATCAGAGTTCTCTCATCTGCGATTGTCGGACTATCGTGACATTGACTTGTTTGTCTCCATTGCTTTCAAAGCCTCAGCATTGACTCCTTGTCAACATCACTTTTATAATAAAGACTGCCAAGTGTGCTTCAAAGTTCTCAAAGAAAACAAAACAGGACATGGTGCTGGTGTTTCATTGACTGTCAAAGTAAAGCTATTTCGTAATTGGTTTATCCTGATATAGGTACAGAAACTGCATGTTATATTTTACTACACTGAACACTAGTATTTTAATTGATGTGATCTGCCATTGGAGGTTATGATAAATGATAGGTAAGTGGATGGAAAGTGCTAATGATCAAGTTAACTATAAGATTTCTTTGAATTCAGATTGTTCATACTGATAAAGATGGTTTTGTACATATCAGAACCAATAAAGTACTTTACTTCAATGTTGAAACTACTTTTATTTATATATATATATACTTGACCCTCTACAAAGTCCTCTATAAAGAATTTAAAGAACTTGCATTTTTAATCACACCTTATGTCAAAAGAGCTTCGCAGGTAGTTACTGTCAAGTATAGTGATTGTTTCTGTAGGCTAACCTGACTGTCATTTTTGCACCAGCAACCCCAAAAACCTTTGAGTGAATGACCAAATTAATCTGGAGGATTTTTAGCCAGGTCAACGGGAGAAACTCCCTTTTCAAATAGTGGTAACCGGAGGCAGATAGGAGCTGTGTTTAACAGCTCATGGGAAAGAATTTCACTAACAAACCTACAACTTCAACATTTCTTCTGAGTTAGTCTTAAGGAATTTTCTCTGCACGAACCTGTTAATTGTACATGTGGATATTCATTTCTCTAGTTCCCTCCAGTAACAACACAATTTTAATTATATGATTTGACTTCTCTGTCACGTGGGCTTCCCATCTGTCCTGTTAACAGAGGATTAAGACACACAGAATTCAAAATATAAAGGACTTTTACCAGTAGCATCAGAATTACTTCCAGAGTAGGAGATTTTCCAGTGAAACAAGAGAGTGACAGTGTGTGTTTTGATGCAATATCCTCTGTCTGTAGTTCAGTGATCAGGTTAATGTGGAAATGTACACCACACAGAATGTGACTTAAGAGATTCGTGGATGACATCGTTGCAGAAATTATCTTGAAATGATCTTTTTGTACCAATTATAATCATCAGTGGGAATGCAGCATCTGCTGTCAGCTTTCCCTGCAAATTGGTGCTGAGGACCATTCAATTTGAGCAATTATTTTAATAACCCATATGTCAACTCTGGCTCTATTCCAACTGGAGAGAACTTAGAGATGAAAATTTTAATGATCAACAGCCGCTGCAGGTCACATAGAAATACATGGGATTGCACCTATCTGTGAAACAGAATTGGTCTCCACTGACATACAGCTTCTGCCCCAAGAGCTGAATAAAGCAGCAGCATTGCTGCTGTCTAATAGTATATTCCTGTGATATTAGAGAAAGAATACAGTTAACAATAAGAGAGAGTTTTGCTAGCCTTATAGTTGTACGTTATTCTGCGTTTAGGTTGTAACTGGAAGACAGAAAAAAATAATAATAATCCGTGCATTTGATATAGTGCCTTATCAAGTCATTGAGATGTCTAAATTGTTTCACAGGATATATTGTAAAAGTGGATTGACTATTTTGTGGGCAAAACGCGGCAGCCAGTTGCGCACAGCAAAGTCCCACAAACAGCCATGGATTGAGTGACCAAATTTATTTGGGGGATTGTTGACTAGGTCACTGGGAGAAACTCCCTTCTCTTTTCGAACAGTGCCATGAGAGGTTTAACATCCACCTGAACAGGCAGAAGGTACCCCAGTTTACCGTTTACCAACTTCGCTGGCCAATGTCAAATGTGAGTGCCTTAGCATTCTGTCTAGTCTTCTAGTTTTTATTAGCATGGTTTTGTGTCCACTTGGTGGAGCTGGTGGCAATGAAATGGTTTCAGTAGAAAAGTACCTTTAAAGGATACGTTTAACTATAACCATTTTTATGGATAAACACTGAATATCATAACTATATTCAAAGCTGAGAAACTAAGCTTATTAAGTAGACAGTTGCAGAAAAAATAAGCATTTGCTGCTTTTGTAACAGTAAGCCGTGTTAAATCTTGATCAGTGTAATGTTTTTACACATCTTTTTAGCTTCATCAATCTGAAGTATAACATTAAGGAAATTAGCAGGTCTGTTCATTTTTAATTTTTTCAGTGGAAAAGCAGAGACATTGACTCTATACTTCTCGCAGCATTTAAAAATTGTAGTAATTGTTCACCACAAACTTGTATGTGGAAAATTGTGAAATAGACGCTCAACAAATTAGGTAAATTCTTTGAAGAAATATAAACACTAAAATGTTGAGATGTAATGTTACTGTATTCCCAAAGGACAGTTAAACAGGAGCTGATCTGACCTGCCTTCCCCTGCAGATGCCCATTATTTCATACAGTGCAAGTACTCTGTGTTATGCTGCAGTACATTCTTGTGTGATCAAAAATCGTATTTTGCTTCATGTCACAGTACAGTGCCAGCCTTCCTAGGTCAATCCACTTAGTGTCTCTTTGAAAAGATTATCCCTACTACTTTCTGAGAATTCTGCATTAGAGCAAAATGCAGCATAATACTAACAGGAGAGTACCACTGTTAGCAGTACAGTACTGGTTCTGATAGTGCAGCTGTGCGTGCTTGTTTTTTTATAGATATATATATAAATATTTGTGGGTACAAGCTACTGCCTTTTTTTTACATTGAATAAAATAAACTAAGTCAGCAGTTTTATTTTTAACCATTGCCATGTGAGCAGGCTGTACAGGCTGGATGTTTCTGAAATGGTTCATGAATTGCACAAAGGGCACTATTGGGAAACACGGGGATAAGTCAGGTGACTCTGCACCCAGGACATTTTTCAATTGCATTGATTTCATGCTGCCACTAGGATCTTCCAGTCATTGGGGTTTATTCTCCTTGTATATTTGGGATAAATATTTCTTGTTTATAAATAAGTCTTAGTTTTATTAATCACGAAGGAACATCTTAGGCAAACCTTAGGCAAGTTTTCTTACTCCACACGCCACTGTTTATCTAGCAGTAAGTAGGAACCCGGTTGTTAGTCAATTGGCGGATTGTTTTCTGGGGGTAATAATCCCTCAAAACTAATTACAAATAATAATTTGGTCACTCAATCCAGGACTGTTTATGGGAAACTGATGTGTGCAATTGGCTGCCGCGTTTTGCCCATAAAAATAGGCAATTCACTTTACAGTATATTCTGTGAAGCGCTTTGAGATGTCTCAGCGATGTGATAAGGCACTATATCAAATGCAAGGATCATTTTATTTTCATGTTATAACATTGTATTAACTAATTGCTGATTCAAACTAGTTAACCTTTCTGGTGACCGGGAGAGCAATTACAGCCTGTTTTTATTATTTATGCCGGTAAACTAACAATCAACCTAATTGCAAGCACTGTAATGGACTATTGCAGCTTTTTCTTCAGCACTCTGCTTTCACTTTTCTTCATAAAATTCAGCAGATATTTTTCTTTTAAGGTAAAAATGAAACTATATGTCCTCTCTGTAATGCTTTAGTTTTGGTATTTTACAAAATGCTGGCAGAAAAGATGGGAGTGCTCTTAAAAATAGCCGAGCGCTTTATAGACATAGCTGAAAATTTGAAAACGAAAATATCTGCTTAGACCTCAGAATACAGTTTATTTCGCTTTTAGAAGATTGGTGAGGAGAAATTTAACCTGGATCTAAATTTACTCTACGTCGCAACAAGAATTTGGCAAATTCTTAATACTTAATTTTGAATCTGGTTTTCTGTAAATTCTTTAAGAAAGACAGAAAACTGACTTCAAAGTTGAAGCTGAATTCAACATTTTGACACATTCTGGGCACTCAAAAATGCTATGCTATGGAATTTCTCCACAATAGTTTGTAGTTGGTGACCTTGTCCAGCAGATTGTAAGGGATCAATAAATGATTCAATCATAAATGGATAAGGCTATAGTTTTCTGTGTGACTTGCTGTAGATTTCCAGGCTTTCTGATTTTCTTTCAGATTTACCACATTTCATTTCTTAATTTTTACTTAGCAGCTTTATCCTATAAATATGTGGAAATATATGAAAAGATAAAGGCTTCCTCAAATCTCCACTCCACGATTTATTGGCCCTTTCCCACAAAATGCATGCATGACCATCATCTTGATTTTCAATATGTTTGTCAGTTCCTTGAGATGTAAAACATCAAGCGATGAATAATTCATTTTTATTCACATTGGAGGACGTCCCTTTGGAAATTGAGCTTTCAGAAAATGAGCTCCAAAATTGACTGTATTTACAAAGACGTTTCAAAGCGCTTCAGAGGAATAGTAATAATAATCCTTGCATTTGATAAATAGCACTATATCACGTCTTCAAGACCTCTCAAAGCGCTTCACAGAATATAAAGTGAATTGACTGTAAATTTTGTGGGCGAAACACGGCAGCCAGTCGCGCACAACAGTGGATTGAATGACCAATTTCTTTTAGAAAAAGAATTATTACCCCGGTAAAGCGATCCGCCGAACCGCTTAAGAACCATGTTCCTACTCACGGCTAGGTAAAAAGAGGATATACTGTAAAGTGGATCGACTGTGTGTAATTTTTGTGGGATTTCTGGGATGTCTAAAGTGTTAAGAAAACAAGAGCAAATCTGCGGCCGAGCTACTGTGGCTCCTCCTGGCACCGAGTCAAACCAAACCCAACCCAACCCTGTCTCTGCCACTTCCAATGAATGAACAACGCCCTTTGCAGGCCAGAGAAGAGGTGCTTGACGTTGACGATGACGACGATAACAACGCAAGGTGATGTGACAGGCTCCTTTGTAATGAGAAGAGACGGGTCGGAAATTGGCTGGCTGAGAGCAAGTCGCGCCACCTCTGCGGCTCTCGAGCAAAATCACCGTCAACCTGGGAGGGTGGGTCAAGGTGGGGAACTTGTAGGTAGATGCAGCAAACAAACAAAAAAAAACAACACCACCCACCCCATCCCACCCACCTCCCTCCCCAAGTGTTGGGTACCCAACAGTGGCTGTGACTGCACCACTGCTGCTTCCCCCAGTGCCAGCCCCCAACTCAGCCCCGCCCCCCCCACCACCACCGAGCTGTCAATCACCCCGAGGGTGGGCGGAGGGGGGGAGCGCGAAGCCTGACGGGAGTTGTAGTCGATCGACTCCCCGCCACCCCCCCCCTCCACTCCCCCATCCGGGTCGGTCGGAGGAAGCCCACCCGCCGCGCGCAGGAGACTACAACTCCCGGCAGCCCACGCGGCGCCCACGTGTCATCCCGCCTCCCTCCCGCCTCAGACGCCGCCGGCTGTCGTTGACGCACCGCGTGAAGGAGTTGAGGCGGTGGGGCGGTTCACGTCTAAGGGAAGGCCGAGCAGAGCCGGAGACACAGATGATGCGAGTCTCTCGGTGGGGAGGGCGGCGGCTCCTCGGCTTGTAACTGCGGCTCTCGGGGAGTGGCTGAGGTGGGAAGACGGACAGTTGGTTGCGCCTCTCTCCCTCCCTCCCTCCTCCTCTCCTCTCCCTCCCGCCCTCCCTCCCCACCACCTTGACCGGCCTCAGGTGATGAGCGGTTGAGAGGTTGTCAAGACAGAAACCATCATGAATTACAAAGAAGAAGCCAATAAAGTAGCCGAGAAGCTGCTGGGATACAGGAGAGATCAGAGCGGGTGGACATTGTGTAAAAAGACGGTGAGTTATCCCTCCCTCTTCCCCCCTCTCTTCCTCCTCTCTCCCTCTTCCCTCTCTCCCTCTTCATTCTCTCTCCCTCTTCATCCTCTCTCCCTCTTCATCTTCCTTTCCCCCCTCTCTCCCTCCTCTCTCCCTCTTCATCCCCCCCTCCCTCTTCCCCCCTCACACTCCCTCTTCCCTCCCCTCACTCCCTCTTATTCCCTCTCTCCTTTCCCCCCTCTCTCCTTCTTCACTCTCCCTCTTCACCCCCTCTCCCTTTCCCCCTCTTCCCTTCCCCCCCTCTCCCTCTTCACCCCCTCTTTCCCTATTCCCCCCCTCTCTCCCTCTCCACCCCACTCCCTCTTCACCCCTCTCTCCCTATTCCCCCCCCCTCCCTCTCCCCCTCCTCCCCCCCCCTCCCTCTCCCCCCCCCCCCCCCCCCCCCCCCCCCCCTTTCCCTCTCTCCCTCTTCCTCCCTCTCCCCCAAGCATCTCAAGTTGGACATTTGCCCAGCTCCAGGGTGTGCATATGCAATGGGATAAGACATTCACCTGCACTGTTTGTTGAGGATCTCGTTTCCATTCGTTTTAGTCAAAATCTCTTACACAAATTGAAATGTATAAATGAGTAAGACAACAGTGCGAGTGCATATTATAGATCTGTTAATGAGTATCATTTGGATGCTGTGAGAAACTGAAATCTATTTGATTTGAAGCCATGATTTTGAAAGGGGTTGCGAACACCTTAAAATGGTCCTGGGGGCCTCTGTACCTCCTACTTCAGAGATGGTTTTGGAAGAGGAGTTGGTCAGCGACCTCTGATTGACTGGGTTAACTCCAGGCCCCAAGGGTCTGAAGATCAGCGTAGCCTGTCAATCAACCCCCCACCCAGTGCATGTCCTCTCAACTGTGTGTCAGCAATGCCATTGAAGACTCAGTTTGGTTTGGATACTCTTTAAGTCTGGTGATAGGTCAGACACTTGACTGACCCAAAAAAAGGCATAAATGGACATGCATCTTGAAGCGCCTTGGGACGTCCTCCCAACGTGAAAGGCGCTATACAAATGTAATCTTGTTGTTGTTGAACTCTCACAGCCTTTCTAACAAACTATATGAGTGTGTATGTGAAGGAAATAATTACAAAATGAAAGGGTTAACCAGTTGTGTCCATTGATTAATCGTACCTTTTAGCTAGAGCTGTTTGTCAGCTCCTGAGTAAATCTTATTATTCATGTTTCAAGGATAACCACAAATCTAGTTGCTGCAGCGAGTAGCGTATTCATGCTAGTTATTAGGTTTCCATGTAATAATGCATCTAAGCAAGCTAAATGTGGGTTTTAAATGAAAGCAGTGGGACTTTCATTAAATAGATTAATATAGAGTTTGGTAGAATATGATTTTAAAAATTATGTTTTGGGGGTATAATGTGTAACTTTGTAATTGAAGATTAATTCCACTGAACTTCTCTATTAGAGAACATATGGTAAATCTGTGGTGTATAAGCTTCATTAAAATAAACAAATATGACTAGGCATTATTCCGGAGTACTACACTGTGTATGTTTCTGCCAATATGTTTGTAAATAATCAAAAATTCTCCTGATATTTAGTACAGCGGCAGTTTTGTGATGTATAAAGGCTTATTAAGACACAGCTGTGGCTATATTGTAGGTTAGGAATGAATTATGAAAACAACTGAGAGGATTAATAGGCTAGGGAAATTGCATCCTCTCTGAGCATGCTGATTGAACAGATATACATATCTGATTCATGAAAAAAATTAAACAACCAATTGGAGAGTGATATCTATGTTAGTAGCCTGTAGAAGCTCCATGGTTGGTGCCAGTCTGCTTGTCTTGGATGGAGTGGGCGGCTGAGAATTGTATGTGTACAATATACATTCTATGTTTTTCATTCAGCAATGGAAGGAGTTATGTGTGATTGTACTCAGAAGCCAGTACATCCAAGTTATAAGAATAGTTATCCACCGTTCCTTTAACAACAACAACAACTTGTATTTATATAGCGGCCCTCATGCAGGGTAGCGCCCCAGATGCTTTAACCATTGTATTGCATTAATATAATCTACAATATGAAGCAAAGGAAATGCACAGGAAACGGATTTCAGTTACTTGACTCTTTGTTTTATACAGATTTTCAGTATAACACTTTGGTTTTAAGTTCCATCAAATACACTGTTTCAGCTTGTTGTCCATATGTTAGACGCTTACTTGTGCACTAGTTAATTAGTTACCTTAGCTAATACCCTTTTTTGTACTTTGCTTATTCTATTTGGATCTGGAAATCTCTGGCAAACCAATAGTGTGCATGACACTCGATCCTGCAGATCTAATGGGTAGAGTCAACATACTTTTTAACTAGGTAACACAATTCCTGAAAGGTATGGTGGTGGGGAGCAGAGATATAACTGTCTAACTTATTGATTTCTAACTTCAGACCATTTTCCGTAACATTGTATGCCCATTTTACCTTTGTCAGAAATATTTGCCTGCAGCAATTGTATACTTTTTAATTATATAACATAATTACAATCACTGAAATGGAATGAGATCATGGTTGTAATAATTACTGCAACAGAATAGAATTTGCTTACTTGGTAAATTTTGAATATAAACTTAAACCGTGCAAAATGCATTGCTTTACGTAAGATGCTGCTGTATTTATTGTTGGGTGTCTCCATGGCTCAGTTGGTAGCCCTCTTGCTGCTGAGTTAGAGGTTGTGGGTTCCTTTCGGTGTCTGGATGCAAATCTCCCGAATAAAAATTGGTCATTCAGTTCATGGCTGTTTGTGGGACACTGCTGTGAGCAAATTTGGCCGTTGTGTTCACCTACAAAATTTTCAGTCAATAAACTTGACAGTAAATCCTGTGAAGCACTTTGACACACCCTTCCAAATGTGAAATGCACTATATCAAGTCCAAATGCAAAGATTATTATTCATTGGTTGCATTTTATTATCACACTATCAGTGAGAAAAAGTACAGATTAAAGCACCCCTTTGCCAAATCTCTATTCTAGCCATAAATGTAATCCTCATCTCCCTGTGCTTGGCACTTAAATGCTTTCTGACTATTCTAAATCACCTCCTATCTTACTCCAACCAAACATACAAAATTTAGGATCTGTATCAGCCACTGTTCAGTACAGAACATCAGTGTTAACATATTCATACCTTCACTATCTCTTCTATGTTTGCACTCCGTGTTTCTTTTTCATTCTGTTTGTTTAAAAACAGAGTTGAAATTTCACACCCTCCTGTTGCTATTTCGTCAAATTATTTTCCCTAAATAACAATAAAATTACATTTATATTGTGCCTTTCAGGTCAGAAGGACGTCCCAAGGCACTGGACAGCATTTTATTACCCATCATCCAGTGTCTATTTGTGTCATCAGTTCTAATTACTTCCTAAATCCTTTTTTTAAATTTTGGCTTGCTCTCTGTTTTCTTTAGGGACCCTGCAAGCCACCATTTCAGTTTTGTTGAAGGGTCACAGTGAGGATGTCACTGAGGGCTCTGACCCTGGCAAAAGTTACCTTAAATTATTTCCTCACATTGCACTTGTAAATGTTGACACATTAGCATGAAATATGCTTTTTTGTTTTGAGTTTATAAGGCTTTCTGCACAAATATCCAAATAAACTTAATGATTTAATTTTGTTGTTTGATAGAATGACGTTTCTGTCTTCTGGAGACCGTCCACAGAATTTGCAGGAAACTTGTGAGTGTGCAAACGATTATACATGAATGTTTATTTGCCAACAGTTCTATTGAACATTGGCAACTTCAACAAGTTTGTTAAAGGAGCAATCCATTTTAAATAACCTTTGCCTTGTTATATGCTGCCCCTATACTCAAATACCAGTTAATTTTAACTAAGTTGTTTAGTTGTAATAATCACATCTAAATGCACAGAATGTTGCACACCTTTTAGTCCCACAATTGTCAAAGCAAAGTTTCAGGTACACAAATATGTGAACCAATTTCATATCAACAATATTAGACTTCTACATTCTGAGCCTATTCATAATATATATGTGGTTTGATTCCTGCTTGTAACTTGGTTGAGAAATGATTTACAGATTTTATCAATAAAGTAGTTATTGTTCTAATGCCATCTGATTGCCATTTCTCTTGTGGTTTTACATTTAGATACAAAGGAGAAGGAATCGTTAAATCATCACCAGAACGAGTCTGGGAGTGCCTGAAGCCAGATCCAGATGGGTTAAGGGTGAAGTGGGATAAAAATGTTAAAGCATTTGAAGTGATCGAAATTATCGATAATGTAAGTTTGTTAACTACTATGTTAAAATTCCATGATATGAAAAAAAATGCATACTTATAGTTTAAATTGTATTGGAAATTTAGATATAGAAACTGCTTCAAAGTAAAATAGCTGTGCAGGCTGCAAACAACTAACAGGCATGTCCATTGAGAATTCCTGTTGAATATGCTGCATGTGAAAAAGAATATGGCTTATTCAATATCTACAACCTTGGGCAAGTTTCCTTACTTCACATGCCTGATAATAATCCCTCAAGAAACCAAAAACAATAAAATTGGTCACTTCAATCCACGACTGTTTGTGAGACACTGCTGTGCGCAATTGGCTGCTGCATTTCGCCCACAAATATACAGTCAATTCAGTTTACAGTATATTCTGTGAAGCGCTTTGAGACGTCTAGACGCTATATCAAATGCAAGGATTATTATTACAACTACAAGAGTGAGAAAGTGAAGTGAATTAACTGCTGAACTGGATGTAACCTCTAATCCTAAGATTCTTTGTTTTTCATTCTCTTCAGGCTATATCTGTATGTAGGACTATTACACCGTCAGCAGCTGTGGGTCTAATCTCTCCAAGAGATTTTGTGGATGTTATTTTTAGCAAAAAATATGAGGATGGAACGGCATCCTCAAATGGTAACTAACACACAAAACACTCTTAGCTGTCGTATAATGGAGAAGTTCTTTTTGTCACATTTATTTTTACATATCGTTTTTTTTAATTCTCTGCTTAATTACTACACAGAATACAGTAAACTTTGCATAGAGCCGCAGTTCAAATGTTGAAAATGCAAGACTTTAATTGTGCTTAGTTTCACATTCCAATTAGTTTTTAGAATGTGATTTACTTTCATTATTCCAAGAAACTGAAGATGCTCTGTTTCATTGGCAGCTGTTCACGTAGAACATCCAGGTTGTCCTCCTAAGCCTCACTTTGTTAGAGGGTTTAACCATCCCTGCGGATGTTGCTGTGTTCCCATTCCTGGGTAAGAATCCAATCTTATTATTGTTTATTTTCATTAAAAAGCAGCAAATAGTCTGTTGTTGCTTTCTCCTAGAAACTTGTGTGTTTATGATTTGAACCAAAATCTTTAATTTTCTTCAATTACTCTGCACCAGGGGTGCAGTGTGCCTCATGGTCTTAGCCTAGTTTATATCATTGATTTAATATCAGATGTTTTTAAATTTAGTTTTAATTATAAGTTTACTACAATTTTTATCCAATCCTTAAAATGCTGAGAGGCATAAACGATGTATTTAAACAGGGTATTTAAATTCAGCTGTGAAAGTAGAACTGGAGGTTTGTAGTCAGGAGTTAATTATAAAACTATATCGTGGCATGGTCTTGCAATAGTCAACTTCAGTCTTTCATTGGAGCAAAGTAGCGGCATAGCATGGAGCGTTTTTATTTTAAGTGGAACAGAAGAATGCTAGTAATTGTAGAGTTGTGTTCACAACAATGTGCTTTTGTCTTTTATTCTCAGGGAACCTGGAAAAACACACTTGATCACTTTCTTCCAGACTGACCTCGGGGGCTACCTCCCACAATCAGTGGTCGAGTCTTTCTTTCCATCCAGTATGGCTGAATTTTACAGCAATCTGACAAAAGTTTTGAAGACTGTTTAACATTTGATTTTTTTTCTCTCTCTTTTCCCCTCCCACATGCTTTCCGTCCCAAAATACCAATAAATAATTTCACCACATTCAGTAATATTCAGACACCACTCTTCCAGCGTGCTCCAAAGCCACCCGAAGCAGCCTCACCATCCCTTCTTGCTCACACAATTACAATACCCTAAATGCCGGTAAATGCTTGTACTGGCACTGTAATTACACTTAGCTGTAAATTCTGGCTCGCTAGACAGGATCTCCTACCCCAACTCCCCCGCCCTCCCCCCCAATAGTCCGGCCAGCCAGGGTTTAAGTGTACAAAATCTGCATCATTTTAGGGCACATATCGCCAAGTAGACAGGAAGTGTGATTTTCAATATTATTTTCCATAAGGACCAAAATTACCTGAAATTCTGAAATAGCCACACAGATTTAAACAAAACAAAAGCACTTTGTAATATTTTTTCATCGATATGAAAATTTCTTTTATGCACTGCGTGGGTTTTAAATATAAAAATTTTTATTTGCTAAAGTGCTGCCAAAACGATAAACACTCATATTAAATATTTGTATTTTTCTAACATTAATTTATAACCCCAAAAAGGGATTTGCAGTAACACAGTGCACTAGCATGCATCTGAAGGGTCATGAAGCAGATTGAATACATTAGAACAAAAGACTGCACTAACCTTTTTGAGTATAGGTTGACCCTCAGAACTTTCATATTGGCGTCTTAAAAAGAGTCCTAGTGGCATTACTGATGTGTGGTCACTGGCAAAAGCGTCTCCTACAGAAATGGAGTGTACTCTAGGGAATCCCCAGTGGTGTGCAGAGTTGAGAAACTTGTGCTCCAATGAGATCTTGTGACGCTGTGCCTTACAGAGGACATCCTGTAACAACACTATTTACATTGCACGCATTGTTGTCAGGGATGATTCAGCAATTTGCCATCAATGAGCTTTGTAGGAACCAATATGCACTTGAACAAATGTTAGAGCAACATACAGAACTGTAATATTCTCCAAATAGAGTTACATTTATATAATAATGATCTTTGCATTTGGTATAGCATCTTTCACATCTGGAGTGCACCTTAAAGTACTTCACAGGATATATTGTAAAATGTTTTGGTGTTTTAGTAGGCAAATGCAACAAGTTGACAAATCGCATTCAGCCTGATAGTGAAAATGTCAAAATTGCTGCCCTTAAAGGAGTGAGGATTTTCTCACTCAGAATCTGAATAAATGACCACATTCATAAATATGTGCAATAAATCTCCCCACAAAACTTTCTGTTCCTTTGTCCTAACAATTTTGTAACCAGGCTGAGTGACTAGATGTCATGGCGTACCAGTGTTAAGGTAACTGACTCTAAACTGTGTTAAGGAATTTTGTGCTCCAGAAATGCTCTGGGAGGTTATTCTACAAACCACGAAGTAAGAAATCAATTCATATTATCTGATCCACCCCTCTAAAATATTTGAGTAATTTAGTACAGGTACCTTGCATGAATATAGCAGAAAGAGTCTTAAGTGTTACATTATGAATATCTGCTCCAAGCAAAACCAGTCTGATTGTACAGCTGTTTGTCTTGTATCTTCACTTTTTACAGAATCACAGTGATTTTTCTTTTGTCATCTTAATTTATTCCTCCTCCAAACTGGCACAAGTCTATTGAATTGGACTTTGTTTCCTGATGACTTGAATCTCTTGTTTTACAAGATATTATATAGCTGATTTATGCTGATAAAGATATTTGAATCTTTAAAATAGTGCGATGAATTTGGTCTGTATGAAATTCAAACACTAATCAAAGTTTAAATACTCTTATCAGCCAGTGGAAGGGTTAAATGTATTTACCTATCAAATATCAGAGCACAATTTTAAACTCATGTACATGTATCGACTCTCATAGCATCAAAGTGCTTTTCCCCAAAAAAGTTCAAGTGATGTGAATTTTTATTTTGTTAATTTAAATTTTGTTTTGTGAAGTTCAATGTTTTTTCATTTGCTACTTTTTTTTAACTACTGTATATTGAGATTTTGGTGGTGTTGATATGAACTCATTTGTTTGAAAGCATCTTTCTTCATTGCTTCATAAACTGAAGATGTCTATTCCACACTGTGTGCTTGGCAATTAATGTTGGAAAAATGGCAACATTAAAAGTTCTTACTTGAATGTTGATTGTGAAATTGGTCTGATTGAAAACAAAAGGAACAATTCTTTATAATCTCTTTGAAAAAGATGGTAAGGAATTTTATTTATCTTACATAAATGCAGGTAGCAAAATCACAGAATGATAAGACAGGATTTTGCAATATGCAGGGTGTTCTACTTGTCTCGTCTCAAGCTCCCTATGTAACCTGTGCAGTGGGAATTATCAGATTGAGTCATTTTCCACAGATGCAATATGTGCTCCCATCTGATCCTTAAATATAGGATATTGGCAGCAGAGAGCTTTATAGCCAGCACAGCTATCAGGACAATAAGGAAAATGTTCGGTAGTCAGAGTATGGGACCAATCAGTCTTAGGCCTCAGGTACGTTTTCTGCTCTTTGCAGACTAGGATTTAGTTGAGCAACTGAAGACAGAAGGGAAGGCAATTATTATTCTATTTGAACTGAAAACACTTGCTAGACAGCAGACTCAGTACCATTCATTATCAATATTCAATCCAATGAGCAAGCCCAGAATCTGATCAGTGAAGTTGTGCGTTTATTTGTGCAATTGTTATTTTAATTATCAGAAAATAACAAACACATTTGCCAAATCTGTCCTTCCGTACAGCAGTTGAAAGCATGGAACTCTGTTATACAGTTGAAAGTCTTAAGAAGTTACTAAAGCACAGAGCAGATGATAATATTATGTGCAAATTATTCTCACAATTTGCTAAAATTTTGTAACGGTCTGGCAGAATTTTAGCAGGAATCAAAGTGCAAGTTGATCAGGTAACTTTTTATCAGCAATGTTCTTTCAACGGATATGATGTTGATTGTTCTGTGAACTGTATAGCTATTTTACTGCCTGCACCAGCTATTGCCAAATACAAAGAATTCTTAAAATCAGTCAGAAGTCTGTTTTCAGCAGGTAATTTTAAGAACTGCAAAAATACTTTCCAAATTGAGACTGAACTTAATTTTATGGTCAAGACTATGACCAAGTTGGGCCCTGATATCTTGTGTGAGAGCTCAAAGTGGCACACTAGGATGTTGAATTATCTGGCATTAATACCTGCAGGGGTACAGAATAAATACACTTACTTACTTGAAGGGTGAAAACTAACCTGTGCAGAGAAAAGCCAGTTAAAAGCAGGTGTATCCAAGTAGAAAATTAGTATGCAATCAATTTTCTGATAAATGAAGTATTTGAAAAAAGATATGTCACACATCTTCGTTGGTTCTTATTTATCAGCAGATTTATTCAACACCTGAAGGTGGATCTGTTGACGTGACTATGTTGGAAATCAAACTTTTTCTCCTAATGATGACTTTAGTAGGGCCGTCGGGTAGGGATTTGATGACATTCCAGGCCTCAAAGCGGGTAAGACCTTGCATGGTAGTTGTGTTCAGCTGCACTAACTCATCTCCAGGCAGGATAATGTTGCTCTGTTCGGCTGCTCCTCCTAGGGTTTGGGGGGGTGGGGGACAGAGATGAACATAGACAAGGACTTTATTTTGCTACACTGGAAATAACATTCAGGATTATTTGTTCAATGGGCTCCTGGTAGCTTATTCATGGAATGATAGAAATAATCATCGAATAACCCTGTACAACCCTTCAAGCCTAAGATAGTGTCATACAGGTTCAGAACCAGGGAAGCCATGGCTTCCAAATTAGGACTGAATTCATGAAGTTTCTGAAATTCTACAAGATGTTAAATTTTGAAGTATTAGTTTTGAGCTTAAGGCCATGTCCTCTCCTGCACCAGGTTAAGTTGAGCCGATCCATTGACTCCCCATCATGAATCGAATTCAAGGTCCTTGTTCTCGCCTTCAAGTACCTTCACAGTCTTGCCCCATCCCTATCTCCACAACCTCCTTCAACCCTACCATCTTGGCTGCTCCCTTCGCTCAACAATCACTGGGCTACTTGATTTTCCCTGCCCTATCCATCCCACTATCAGTGGGCAGCCTTTCAGCCATTCGGCTCCTGCTCTCTGGAATTCCATTCCGGAGTTCCTTCAATTCATTCCCTCCTTCACCTCATTCAAGGTCCACCTCAACACTTTGAGGCTTTCGGTCATTCGCTATGTAAATCGTAAAACAGAGATGATGGCTCTCTGGACTTTACACACGCATCAATTTATAGATAAGACAATTTATTCTTGACATGTTAAATAGTAGGTGAAGAAATTGTTTTGACACATCCATGCCACGTACTTTCATTCATTCATTAATTTACAATGGGAAAACTAAACACTGAGCCAATGTACCTAACATAAAACAATGTACAAACCTTACTTAAAATGCAATCTACTCTCATTTGAAAAACTGCTTCCTGTTGCTTACCTTTAAAAATTCTGTTGATCACGACAGGTTTATCCCCGTGAATTGAACCCTTTCCACCTTCCAAGCTGAAGCCCATGCTACCAGCACTTTTTTCAAGTTCCAGAGTAAAGCTGCTCATTTTATCTTCTGTTGCTGCAAGCGACAATAGTAATGCCCTGTTAGAACTGTATTTCTGAGCTTTATAAGAATACATATAATCTGTAAACCATTTACACAATGGTCAGGCTGCAGGTCAATAGGAGGGAGGTGACCTCATAGTATGTCATTAGCTGAAAGAATTGGAAAGGGTTTGTCCTGCCTTTGGGACTATCAATTACAGAGTGTCATTGATAGCAATCTTCATCCAGCCTGAAGGAGAGAGCAATTCATCATTCACCAAATGGGTTTTGTTTTGGGAGATAAATATTTGAACCTGTTTGTAGAGTTTACATCATGCCCTCTATGCATTACATTCAATCTGGCCAAATTTATTTGGATTGCGTAAAGATCAAAATATAGAATTAAATTGCACTTTAAATGAGTGAATAAATTTGAGTTGAGAAAAATGCGTACCTGAGTCAATTGGACTCTCAGTTGATGAGCATTCACTTGACGTGCTGAGCTTTCTTTCATCTTCTTTCAACTTGTGTACTACAACCACAGCTTGCTGTGGCATTCGAGCCTGTCGCAAAATAGCCAGAGCATCACTGTGTGTCACTCCTTTCAGGGATTGTCCATTGATTGATAAAATCTCATCTCCTTTTTCGATTGTTTTTTCCTGAGCAGCCAATCCACTTGGAAACACTCGGTGAACCTATTTGTAAAGCAGGTAACAAGAAAGTAAAGTTTTTTAGCTGAACACAAGATGTACTGAAATTCAAGTGCTATTGAATAACTAGTTTTGCAATGCTCCTAAAACAGGAGGGTTAATATTGCAGATTTTCATTCTGCATTTCTTCACTGATGGCTACTCACAGTTGTTATTTTGTTCTCGAGGTCTATCCCTCCAGCGATGCTGAATCCCAGGCCAGCTCCTTCCTCTTTGTGTAAAACCACAACGTGAATGTCTTCAAATTGCTGCAAAACAAGGATGATTTTTATAACTATATAAATAGTTTAATCAACATTTTAAACTTGCATAATTGCCTTTGATAGCAGGAGGATGTCTCAAAGCAAGTCCCATAACATGGGACCCCAACTGATGGGAAAGTGACTGAAAAGGCAGGGAAGGGGAAAGGAGGAACTCACCATCATCTCAAACTTTCATTATATTCAAAAATCGCAGTTTACGCATTAACATTTCTACAAAATACAGTATATCGTTTATGAATGTTGCCATGCTGAATTAATACTTTAAAATTAAAGGGAAGTGCATTCATTTGAATTGCAGCATTTTAAGTTATAAATTTACATTTGTACATTACGCCACATCTGAATCTGTAAATTGCGGGTTAAGGGCAAACTTCCACATTCACACTGTCAATCAGGAGAATTTCACAAATTTTCTTTGAATAGAAATTCCATCCATTATATCACCTCAAAAATTTATTTTAGTTTTTAGTGTAATCAATATAGTGCGTGTCCAAATAGATTTAAAAAATGAAAAATTAGCAGGAGGACTTGGTACCTTTTTTTTGTACAAAGCAAAGACCTGTGAGTTTTTCACTCTATAATTTATGATCGCATATGGTATCTATATACACTTATTTGTGTTTTTATGCCAAGAAACCTATTGTTCTATTTCAGAGAGAAACAGCACGTATATGGTGAACCTGTGGGTATATAGCTCAGATGTGCAATTCACACTATCAATGCTGTCAGAAAAAAAACTAAAACTTTATGGTTGATTTTTACTTTGGGCTCTACTAAACAAGGCAGATCTTTCAAGACTTCTTCATGACAGCGATTCTTCAATATTTATTCTTAGCATGATCAGCCCAGCCATGTTCCCTATTTAGTATAATGTGTGCTGAAAAGACATAAAAATGTCTTTTTATTTAGGTTCTAACCTTTAGAGTTTCCTCATCCAAGTTCTTCACTTCCTGAATAAGTTCCTCCAGTTCTTCTGTAGGCATCAGGGACATAACAGACTGAGCAGAAACGTAGGAAGAAAGTGATAAGATGTGTTCCTTTTTACCATCTTCCTTTTTATCTTCGTCTGTCAGTCCAATAGTACAATGTCTCAATTCTGCAAGACTAGAATAGTGTGCAAAATGTTTTAAAGTGGAAGTATACACATTCATGAAACTGTTGCAACCTTTTATATGAAACTTAATAATTAGATGAAAACTCAAAAACAAGTCAAATACTTTTCTAATATTTCTTCAATCTTTTTAGAGGAAAATGTATACTCAGCACCAGAGGGAGCTTTACTCCATTTCTGGCAATTACTTCACATGTAATGTATCTTATGAACAAGCTTTTGTCAAAGAGCTTCACAGGAAATACTGTAAAATTAAGTGACTGGGTATTTTGTGTGTGAAATGCTGCAAACAGTTGAGCACAACAATGTCCCACAAACAGCCAAGGAGTGAATGGTCAATTTTATTTGGGGGATTGTTGGCCAGGACACAGGGAGAAATTCCTTTCTCTTTTTGAATAGTGCCATGGCACCTTTAACGTAAACCTGAAGACTCAGACGGGACCTCAGTATAACTTCCACATGTATGCGGATGACACCCAACTCTACCTCTGTCTCCACCCTTGACTCCAGGACCACTGCTGTCCTGACTGAATGTCGTCAGACATCAAGTCCTGGATGAGAGCTAACTTTCTACAGTTGAATGGCAACAAGACCAAGGCTCTCCTGATTGGCGCCCATCAGCGCCTCCTCATCTCAGGCGCTGACAGCATTACCCTCCACGGTTGCACACTCCACCTTGCTAAGCCAGTCCAGAACCTTGTTTGACCCTCAACTATCCTTTGTACCCCACATCTGCGCCATGACCTGCTCTACCTTCCCCCACCTCTGCAATGTCTCCCGGCTCCACCACTGTCTCACACCACAGGCCGCAGAAACTCTCATACACACTTTCATTACATCGAAGCTCGGCTATGCAAACTCACTGCTTGTCGGCCTCCCCATTTCCTCTCTCCACAGGCTGCAGATCATCCAGAACTCTGCAGCCCATGTCCTCTCCTGCACTAAGCTCCGCGACCCTATCACCCCCTTCCTTGCCCAACTCCACTGGTTTCCCATCACACAGAGGATACAGTTCAAGATCTTGGTCCTCACCTTCAAAGCCCTTCACGGTCTTGCTCCCCCTTATCTCTCCGACCTCCTAACCCCCTACCACCCTGTTCACTCCCTCTGCTCAGCGGGCTCCGGCCTGCTTCACGTCCCCCGCCTTGCTCGCCTAACTATCAGCGGGCGGGCCTTCCGCCATTCTGCACCCACCTTCTGGAACTCCATCCCCCAGTCCCTCCCTCTCACCCCCTCCCTCGCCACCTTCAAAACCCACCTCAAGACCCTCCTCTTCGACTGTGCTTTCGATTTCCCTGCTTCCCCCTCCCGCCCTCCACCCTCCCCCACTCCTCCACCCCTCAGCTCGGGTCCATAACTCTGTCTACCTAGGGCCGTCCTTCCGACGTAAAAGGCACTATACAAATGTAATTTTGTTGTTGTTGTTGTTGTTGTTAACGTCTCATTCGCAGGACAGCACCATCGAGTTATTTCACACAACTTAAAATACATTAGGTTATATTTCTGCACAAGTAGTTTCACCAAGTTCTAGTGCAAATGCTAAATAAAATTATCAGGTACTGAGCTTTCTCTTGACACTAAATACAGATGATGTGTGGTTACAATGTTTTCACCACCAAGTTGTAGTGAAGAACAGTGTAAAGCAAAATCTCCCCACTCTCTCTATGTTGAGGAGGGGTAGCAGGTTTAAGGGAAGTAAGAGGGAGGAGAATGGGAAATTAATCTTATAAAATATTGCACAATATCAGAGATGATATCCCAATGTTACATTCCTTACCTGAGAGAAAAGCCTTTTTCCAGCTGATGATTTTCAATGGTTGGTGAGGTCAAAGGAGATCCATCTGGCCACGACAAAGCATCTTCGGAAGAAGTGCAAGGAGACATAGGATGTGCATTCCACAGACTGCCACACCATGATACCGGTGACTGAGGAAATGCAAGTACACCTTTCATCAAAGCATACGATACATGGTTGCTGATGGTGTGTATTTTGTCACTGCTGGATGATAAAGTTCCTTCTCTTAGAGTGCTTGTTTCACGAACTTCATAAGAGGAGCTAATGGATAGTGGAAAGCTTCTGGTCCGTAGCCCAGTTGCTTTGACCACATGTGGTGGTATTTGTGGGGAACGTGATAAAGATGTGGATACATCGTTGATTGTACTGTTACTTCTCCTCGGAGAAGACTTGACTGGTGGCTGGTGAGAAACTGCACCAACGGCTTTCATTAACACTTCATCAGATGACTTGAGGGATTTCAGTATTATTTTCCTATCAGTAGGACAGTCCTTGTGATTGATCGGAGATGAAGTCTTTCCTTTTGAATCTTCTTCACTGCTTGACATGAACACGGTCTGATCCAGCTGCAAAGGTTGTGTACAAGTGTTGCCTTGATCTGGTAGATCCAGAGCAGACAGTGTTTCAAAAGAATGGATCGTGTGATTTATGGACTGGGTTGCTGATTCTGAGCATTCAGGCATAGGGAGGCTTTGTTGTTGACTGCTTTTAATTGTTGTATTGCTATCAGCCCATTTGCCACTTCTTAAAGCTTTCAGGCTTTGCCGAACCCAGGCTGGCTTGGGAGCTACAGGTGGTCCTTTTTTCCCATTCATTTTCTCAGCTGGCTTCATATTTGTTGGCGCTAGGATATCACCTTCTGCTTCCTGTTTTAACCCATCGGCCAGATGATGTCTTTTCACAGCTGCTGTTAGGTCATTCACAGATTCTATTTCTCCCGATTCCTTAGCTGATGGCAAAGGCTCCCTTCCATTGTATTTCTGTGGCGCAGTAGATTTGGAAACAGAGGAAGTCACTGCACAGTTTTCAGCAGATTTATCTCCTGGAGAAAGTCTGTGCTTTCTTCCAGGCAAATCCTCATTTCCCATCACTTTCGAGGACAAAGCCTGAGAAAAAAGGCTTGTTTTTTTTGAGACTGGTTGTGGCCTTGCTGCCATAGTAGTGGCCAATTCACAGTCAAAGTGACTGCTGCTTCTGTCTTGACTTGTAGCAAAAGCAGCTTTGATGTGGAAGTTTTCTGTGTTTTCAGCAGTTCTAGCACACACTTCCTGTTTCTCACCCTCACAAAAAGGATCTATTTGCGTCTGCCTTCTTAGAAGTGCTCTTTTAATGGCTGTGTTATTTGCTGTAATTTAGAAATGCAATTGTTAGTAACATTGCTTTGGTTTAATTAATCATTTGTTATCGCCCACTTCTGCACAGTAAATTAGTCAGTGGGTAAAAAACTAGCCCTTTTAAAAAAACGGATGCAACCAAATTTGTGCATTTACTCTGAATTTAGTTACTGATACTGATGCACCAAACCACACACAGGGAAAATAATTTGCATTTTGAATCTGACAGAAAACCGCAAAGGAAGAAAGTAATAACTCATTATATTCAAATGGCATATGTAATCGACTTCCTGTCTGTGCAAAATGAACCAAATGTAAGATACCGCTTTAAAATTTCATACAATTTCCTTTGTAAAAACATGCACTGTGCATTCATACAGAAATGTTAAAGCCTTAACAGTACACTTTAGTTTGAAATGTACAAGTGCATTTACTTCACACATCTTTACAAATAGGAAAAGAGAACATCTTGTTTAACACTCTTATTTTTAGAATGTATATGAGCTGCAACACTTGCTCAAGAGGCTTCTACGTTTTTGTTGCTTATTACTCAACTTCTTAACTTAAGTGTTCTCCTTTTATTGTCTATTACTCAACTTCATTCCGTGTTACTCAAGCACTTTACTTGTTTTATCAAGTTTTAACAGCTTTATACATTTAAGTCAATCGTTAAAACATTCTCCATCTCCTAATTCTAATGCTCCTGTGCTTACTTTGTTACTGTTCATGTTAAAAGCATACCTTGATACACTCCTCTCAATTCAAGTTGATAGGAATCCGGCAAAAAGAACAAGTGATCGACATCTCTTGACATCAAGGCGCTGCTGTGAATGGAAACAGTTTCATCCCCTTGTGGTAGTAAGTTCCTTACATCCTGCAAAACAAACAGGAAACTGCAATGACAAAGGTGTCGTAGCTCATAAACCTGCCTCTTCCTTTTCTGCAGCAAAGTCAATTCATATAGGTGTTAAATAATGCTTTGCTCAAACAGATGCTGATCACAATCAGCTAGCTTCTACTTTAGTGAGGTTTATATACCTTATGTATAATTTCTTCAAACTGCATAAGCCACCTTTTGCTGGAGGGATTGATGGCACCATATTTCTAGGACAACAATCTCAAACTCCAGTCACCAAAACAATCCACCTAAATATCCTTGCATGTCATATCATAGAAATTTACAGTGGAGAAAGAGGCCATTATGCCCATTGAGTCTATATTATGTGGCATTTCATTCAGTGAGATTAGGATATGGAATGCCCTGCTGGGAGCTTTGGTTGAAGCAAAATCCATATTAGCTTTCAAAAGGGCACTACAACAACCACAAATTGTATTTATAGAGCACCTTTCACGTTAGGAGGATTCCCAAGGCACTGAAATTAGAAAGATATCTAAAAACAATTGGGGTACGGGGAAAGGGCAGGTAAATAGGACTGAAAATATTGCTCTTTAAAAGAATCAGCACAGACATGATGAGCCAAATGCCCTTCTTCTGTGCTGTAAATTTCTGTGGTTCTATTCAGTTGATATCAGGTACCATAGAAAAATTGCAGTTTTAAGTGTTTTACTGTTTATCTGATTAAGTTACTGTGTCACATGTAACCACAACTACCTATAGAGCAGCACCCACAAAAAGTTTCCTTGCTTCCAGACTGATCTTCAGTTTTGCATCAGAACTAGTGCATCAATACGTATTTAGTGCAAAGACTAGGAGCATTGTTTTACCATTTGAACTCTACAACTGAAGCTGTGTGCACGTGTAGCACAAGTAACATTAAAAATGCAATCCATATGAAGTGTGGATTCCACTTTAATCATATTTATACACTTGACCTGGTTTCTCTGAACATTGAAATCCATCTACATGGGGAGAGGGGGTAAAAAGGACCACACATTGTTGGGCCGGGGGTTAGCTTTCTTATTTTATAAAACCATCCTCTCTTTTTCTGTCCCTTCTCTATGTTTCCTTTTTATTGTCTTCCTAAAGTTGGGACAATGGCTTGGGGAGGGCAGTTTCTGTCATTGTCACTGTGTTGGCATATAGGCAGCACACTTATCTGGTCATCTATAACCAGATGATTTTTTATTTCCCAATACTCTCAAGTTGGTAACTTAATTCTGATATTTTGACGTAAAGAAAGTTTAAAAGCCCATCAGGCTTGACCACTAATGTGTTGAGATTCCAGACTTAGTTTTATTTGTGTATATTTTCCTCCCTTTCTTTTAATCCCTCTAGCATCTCACTCTGGGGTAAAAATTCAATGGTTCTTAACAGATTCAATGTGACCGTTATCATACGGAATCTGTTATGAGTGTAACAGAGAAGACCTGATAGAGGTTTTTTATATGTTGAGAGAGTTTCCCATCCATAAACCTTTTTCACATACTCTATTCCTGTTTTAATCTTATTGAGATCCACATCTCACCTGGGAGTAACTAATCCAGGATTGTCCATTCCTTTTCTTCATGTTTAGATTACTGCTCAGTTCTGTGGTAAATTGAACTTTTTGCTGATTATCCTGGTTCCTCACGTTCCTCAGTGAGGGAGATGGCAGTAGTGGTGGCAGATTCTCCTTTGAACCACGAGTATTTCCATGAAATACTTCACTTGTGCCCTTCTCAAGGTCCTTGAAGTTATTTTTCAGTAAATAAAAATCTCTCCTGTCAATGGCCTCCTGTTCTTCCACATTGTCGGCCGGTGATCCCGATGGGACTGACACTGTATCTATTTGGCTGTTAAATCTATGTGTTTCTTCTGCCTGAAGTCCTTTGTTTTGGTTTATGTAGAAGATGGTGCCAGTGTTAATGGAAGCACTGGTAAAATAACTGCTGTCGCTGCTGGAGCGAGTCATTGGTTTGGGAGTTTTTTTGCTGAAGGTTTTATCTGTGCATTTTTCATAAATTTGCTTTCTGTCCCACCATGCTTCATTTTTATTTCCTCCTAAACAAAGACAGTCAGAATGATCATAAATGCTGTTATTATGGAAGCATAAAATACTCTGACTAAACATGGAATCTACTGGATCATTTCAGACTTCTTAAAAAGGATATCAAAACATTGACATAAACAATTGTGGACTTGCATACCACTGAATATATTTAGACGGACATAGTATTACTATTCAGTAATGTGATCAGGGAATTTAACATTTAAATATTATGTAATAGTCATTCTTCATTTGGTATAGCACTTATCATGCAGAATCTGTGCAGTTTATAGGTGAACATGACAGCTTATTTGCACATAGCAATGTCCCACAAACAGCCAGGAAGTGAATGACCATTTCTATTTTCTGGGAGGAATATTGTTCCGTAAGCCACTGTGACAATGATTAAATGATTGATATTGTTAAAGATTTAAACTAGGGCCATAGAGATTGTTAAAATACATCCCTTGGGAGTTTGTGTGTCCCCTGATTTTTTCACTTTGATCGCCAATAGAGTATTTTCTAAGACAATTGTGAACATTTCAAATAGGGACTGTGCCAGCATGTTTTAGTCTGCACTTAAGAAGGCTGAAATAAGTTGTAAAAACAAGTCAATATTTTGAGCCTTACTTGTACAGAGCACACTCAATGATAAATCATTAACGTACAATCTGTTCACAATGAATGGTCACTCATGTACCTGATAATTGTTCCAGATACAGCTGTTTACCTTCAAGCATCCTCGGTTGCCTTAATTTTGACTTTTAATGAAACAAATGACTTTATAACTAATGTAGCTTGACAGGTGTGAGAAACTTAAGTCATCTTGCACCAATGACTTTGCAAAACTGCATTAGAAACCGGGGGCAAGTCTGAAGTATCCATAACTATGGCAATCTTTAATCTGCTGCACTGTTTTGCCTTTTGATAATGATTCTTTTGAGTTTTGCCAAATGTGCAAACAATCTTGAATTGTCTCTGGAGCTTCTCTGAGTATTGTTTACAGTTGGTCAATAAAATTTTAACCTCTTTTGAATTATCTCACAGAACTTATCTTGCATCTCTTTTGACATACCTTCTGCATTCCATTGACAACTGTCCTTGTTAAATTTGCCATTTCCAAAAGTTTGTAAAATTGCTTCATTGAACTGTTGTTCAGAGATCTGCAGATACAAATGAGCTCATTAGCATTTCAAACATCAATACTGAATGAAAGTGGAGGAGGAGTAATGAGCAAAACCAAACTACACTAACATAAGAGCCGTAAACATCTTTAATATTGACAAGGAATCCTCTATAGCCGTGTCATTTATCCATTACAAACCAACCATCAAACCAATTACAACATTTTAACACAAAATAGGTGGTGGATTGTGTTAATCAGTGGCATTTTCACAGAACATTAAAGGGGAAATATGATTGTTCCTGGCTCTACCCAAGATCTTGGAAACAGTTTTTTTTTATCTCTTCTCTATTTCTCTTAAATGTACCTCCTGGTATTGGTTCATAAGCACTTTTTTTTCCAAAACAGTAACCATAAGAGTGTCACAAAACAGGAGATAAGATTCCTGCTTCCAATCACCCTGGCAACCTCTGCTGGAACATCTATGTGGGTGGACACCAGCTTTGATAACCTCCTCTGCTCCAACCACCAGTCATTTAATTGTTTGCCAAACCTCCTTGGTGGCTGTACTGCCTGTGGAACCAGACTTCATCCTGACCATCTTCAGAAGAGTGCAAACCAGCAGAGGGAGCACTTTATTGTTTGCTTGTAAAACTCTTTCCCCTGTGTCGCATGAATTCAGTGCACTTTCCTTGCTTTCTTACCTGTGGGTTTGGGTGTCGGCTGATGATGAGATTGATGGGTCCAGATTTGCACTGCTGCAGAAGGGCATGTGTTTCGTTCAAAGTCATATTGTGAACATTTATTGTATTAATTTCTAAGATCTGATCGCCACACCTACAGCATAAGGAAAACTGCAATGAAAAGATTTGACCACAAAATTGTTTATTTATCTTGGTCTCTATGGGCATAATGAAAGGATGATCCAGTGGCTCGAGCCATCGATGGTCAATTTTCTAGGAATCTCACAAATCTGTACAATTTACTGCTGGAAAATAGAAACTGGAACTTTTTGGGAATGATTGAACTTCTATCAGCTCTGTCTGACGTTTTTGAAAAAGCACATAGCTCCAAACTTTCACAAAGTCAAAAACTAAATCAAAAATCAAAACCACTTTACTTCAGTGAGCGAGTAGTAAATGCATGGAATAGACTCCCTCGGGACATGGTGAAAGCAGAATTGTCAATTCTTTCAAAAGCAAATTAGATATATTATTTCCTGAACGAAATCTATCCTTGGAATACAGTATATAGTTTGGGACATTACATGTGATTGCGTCTCTCAGGGTGGTGGAAGGTGAATTGGATGGGCCTTGGTCTTCTTTCGTGTAGCAATTCTTATGTTCAAATATTCTTTTCTACATGAGTCAAAGTCAGCCAAATCTGTTTCCAATTCTTACCTGAGTCTTCCATCCAGATGAGCCACTGATCCAGGAGAGAGAGTGTGGATGTAAATGCCAGGAACCTCCTTCTGCATAAAAACAGTGCACAGTCCTATTCCCAAACCAACACCATGCTCTGAAACATAGACACAGAAATTTTCAGTACACAAAGGCCACCATGTACATGCAACTGCTACCTGTCTTTCAAAATCACCCTCTTTATTTAATCCCACTTTTCATTATTTTTTCCCCCCACGTCCTTTAAATGTTTTTATTGCTCCATTGCTTATCCAGTACTCCTTTGAATGATTTTAATGATTCCAGTAAAGGAGAAAGAAATTGCTATATATTGCCTTCAATCTGGTCAAATCATCCTGTTAACTTTTATTATTCAAGTGGCAAATTCTATCGACGAGGTAATGCTGAAATGTTACTGCTGGATTGTTTTTTGCATTACCTTTGTGTAAAGTGACCTCCATAATGATTCTGTCATTGGGACTTGTAGCCTTTGGAAGTGAGGGAGCGTTATCCAATTCAGAACTGGAGTAGCTTCCTCTGCGCATGTAAATGTTGGAACTCAGGGACCAGGAACGGCTCACATGTGCTGTTGAGTGGCTGTGGGTGAAACTGGGACTTCTTAGACACGTCCTGACTGTAAGTGTGAGTAAACCTTTCTTTATTTGCTGTATTAAAGAATGGAGGAAAACACAGTTTTCATACAGAAGAAATGTTTAAGGTCATTTTTTATTAACATGGTGAAATTACGGGTGAGGAAATACAGACTGACCTTAAATGTTTGTATGGCCTCACCATGGGTCAAATCAATCATAGCGACTCCATTCACCTCAAGTATTTCATCTCCTGCACAGCGAAAGATCGATACTTTGAAGACAATATTACACATTCCAGTGATAATATTAGACATCAATAACAGATTTTTTTCCTTCAGTGAAAAATCTACATGTTACAATTACAATTTACTATAGTTCATGACAGCAACTTCTTTTGGTAGGACACCAATACTGCCTCAAAGAGTTCCTGGTGTAGATGTGTGTATCTGCAAGAGCAGATCCCTTTCTGTACCAGGTAGGTTTGGTGTTCTTTCTATTTCGTTTTCTTCTTATGTGGCTTCATTGAATCAAATTAACTCAAGAAATAACCAACCATACAGAAAGCCTTTTTGTTTTCCATTGATTCCTGTAACCAAGGAATTTAATTCAAAGAGTCTAAGATGCTACCTCATATGAAGGATGCTATATAAATGTTGTTCAAACTATTGTAACTTGGATAGACCCCTTGATACAAGAAAGATAAAGCCTTGTTAACGAGCTATTAACAGGAGTCTTTCTGATGTTACACACCTTCTCGCAACCTGCCATCAGCAGCCGCCGCTCCATCGGGGTAAATTGTTTTCACAAAGATTCCCATTGGTCCGTAAACACTGTCTCTTCCTCCTACCACACTGAAGCCCAGACCCTGAAGGTATAAGAGCAGTTAGACTTTGAGAACGAACTCAGATCATAACCATCAACTTAGCAATATTTCATTTCACTATTTTGCCTCCGAGATCACTTGTGCCCGAGGCTGGAATCCATTTAATTAGCAGCTCTAAAATTATTGCATTTGTTTTAATTTTTCATGTGTATATTACTTACAATAATAAGAATGAAAGGCTTACCTTGCCTTGCCCTTTCATCAAAACAATGTTTGAAATAACTGATGGCTGAGTGTTGCAGCTCGGATGGATTAAATGAGCTGAACTTAAAGACCGAGCAGCTCGTGTGACATTCTGTGGGAAATCGCATGGAGACATTTTATACAAATACAAGACAGTCCCATTACCGTTAGAACAAGACAGCTTGAAAGCATTCAGGTGAAACTTGTGGCATTTTGTTACACATTCTTTGAGATAATTATCACAGGAAACACATTTGAAACATTTCCACCCCATTCTTCAGTGCATTGAATTAGTGGTCAAAGGAAACTCACTGTTTTAGTGCAATTAAAGGACTTTATTCTATACAGTATATGGCTCTAGTAGGCAGATCTAGCTAACTGTTTCGTAACTATCTGTAACCTGACTCGCATCTCCCAGGCTCCAATGAGGGTGCCAGTGACAGATGCAATAGACTCTCTATCATATCAGGTCTGTCTTTCCAGCTCATTTGGAGGGAGAAACAGATCAGCTGCATCTAAAATTGAACCGCGATTTGCTTTCAAATTTTCTCTGCAGTAATGGGGGCTCATACTTTACAACCAAAGTCCTCCAGATGGGAACGATGCTATTTAAATGTAAATTATATTGTAAAAGGGGCAAAATTGCAGTATTCATAAGAAATATTGCTAAAACGTGTTTGTACTTAATCCCCCGCTCTCTGTGTGGATGTAGCTGATTAAACTCCAGCAGCACTTGTAATGCACACTCTGGGTTCCCAAGCCTTGTTCTTGCCAAACTGCACCTTATATTCCCATCTTGTCATAACAAAGGCCTCTCTTATCCCTTGTCCGCCCACTCCGTTCTAGCAGGCTGCTCATTGGGGCATCCGAGTACTAACTAGCGTGAAGGATACTATATAAATGCAAGTTGTGGTATTCCATGGGATCCTAGCAGTGTGAGGCATAACTATTGATTAAGTTGGCCTTGCATAAAAGATACAAAATTAAAAGGAAATATGAGAGATCTGTGGAGTAAGATTTGTATTAATGCAGGTCATTCTGTGGCATTTCTTGCCTATGTTTGTCATTTCCTGGATGTGTGTATGGAACAGCTTACATGTACACCTCCTGCAGCTTCCAGCTGTTCAGACAGGGACTTCCTGTTGCCGCAAAATGAATGGGTTTGAGTATTCCTACAGAGAGCTTGTTTCGTGGCAACCAGAGAATCAACATCTTTCTCCATCCAGAATGAGCTTGCACCTGCCAAAAGCACACAAGTTTGAGGATTAGAAGTGGCTGGAACAGAGAAGGTGGTCTGTTATTAACAGCGCATTCAGATCATGAGAAACACAGAACATATACGGGTGATGAGCATAGATTTAAGGTCACAAAAGGACTTTTTGGAATCATAAATTTCATGTTATAAGAATTACAATTGGAGCAAAGACAGGTAAATAATAATAATAATAATCCTTGCATTTGATATAGCGCTTTTCACGTCAGGAGGACGTCCCAAAGCGCTTCACAGAACACACTGTAAAGTGAATTGACTATATATTTGTGGGCGAACGCGGCAGCCAATTGCGCACAGCAATGTCCCACAAACAGTCGTAGATTGAAAATGACCAATTTATTATTGTTTTTCTTTGGAGGGATTATTATTAGGCTCTGTGTGGAGTAAGAAAACTTGCCCAAGGTTTCGCCCTCTGCCTGGAATTGAACTCAGGTCTCTCACTTGCAAAGCGAGTGCTCTTAACACTGAGCTACAGGACTCCACAATTGGAGTTGAGGTACAGATCAGCCGTGATGACATAGAATGGCGGAACAGGCTTGAAGGGCTGAATGGCCTACTCCTGTTCCGATAAGAGAAAGGAAATACCACTTTGTCTGCGATTCTTTCTTGGTAAAGCTCTTAAAGAAGCAAATGTTGGTGAAATATCCTAGCTCCCTGACTCTGCCACCAATACATAGGTTAAATGTCCACGAGCATGGTGGAAAGCAATGAACAAGCAAAGATTCTGAAATGAAGGACTTCATTCACTGTTTAAAAAACTATCACAAATAATTGTTTAAAATTTACATTAGCCTTCGATTTTCTCCTCCCTTCACTCCTTCCATTGTTCATCCTGTAATTTACCTGTTGAATTACACCGAATCCTTTGACAAGAAGCACCAGTCTGCAGGCAGCGAGCTTTAAAACGCCTTACTTTTTCAAACCTAAATTCACAGTCATCTTCTGCATTGTCCTCCTACAGAAAACAAAAGCCAGATGTTAAGAACTGTTCAGTTAATCCTGATTGCTATGTACTTAGACATACAGTATTGCATCCTTTTTTTACTGATGCCCTTCACTTTGGTGAACTCCACCTTAATAAGGTGCGGTCCAGTGTGAAGGGCGCTATATAAATGCAAGGTGTGGTTGCTGTTTTTGTAATAAGCCATTTCACCAGAAATGTTTGAATTAAAAAATGTGACATATCAGATTTTATCACATCAAAATGTGCGCAGAAGTGTCGCTTTTTTTCAACTCATTAACACAGGGTTTTTTTGGTGTCCAGTAAATGTGTGCACATCGCACAAAGTCTGTTGCATATTGCACTGGAATATTAATGTGTTGCATCTTTTTCTTTTCGGGGAATTTTTTGATACAATATTATTATTTTATTTATCAATAAACACACATTTTGTTTTGGAAACAGTCTTGTAAAATGATTTAAGAGTAAAAGTCGCACAAGGATAGAGAACTCTGATTGAGACATAACCTTAGTATAGCTGTTTGAGATGATATCTTTAGTAAGCCGTGTCTCAAGGTTCAGTGAAGCCTCCAAACTTTCCTCATCGTCACCGGAGGGGGGCACTGTGGCTGAACCAGTGCATTTATCCAGCAGCTCGGATTCCCAGTGTTCTGAAAAATGCTAAAGTAAAGCATGACAAAAATTACACTTCCATCTGAGGGAAAGCAATAAAGATTGTGATTAATACTCAGCTGGTTAAAAGGTGAAACACAAGCAACATTCTGGCTCTAAAACTAGCACAATATTAAAGTGTTTAATAAGTCCAGTACTCAGTAAATTTAACAATAGATTGTTGTTCTGTAGGTACTGCTGGGCTATGTTGCAGGTCTTGAGTTTCTGTTGTACATCAGTCTCCTTGTAAATGTTTTACCAAGGCACCCTGGATTACTGCAGATGACCTACATGTTATTTAGTTGCTTTAACCAAGACAAACACTGCAGGGAAGATTGATCACTATAAATGGGGAGGCTGGAAACTGCACAGTCATTTCAGATATGGACATTGTCAAAGAAAAGCTTTGTTGATGTCTGAATTTTCCATTTCACATGTAATTTGACCCTGTTTTTGTAGCATCGAGTCTCACGTCGATCAAAACAGTGTAACGACTTTATCATGTGTTGCAATGTCCTCTACCAACACATTTATAATATAACTTTTAATGTAAATTCTATTTTTTATATGAAAATTATTTAACTATATTAATTTTAATGGGGTATATTATCAGCATGCAGATAGAAGCAACACATACCCACAAAATAAGCTACAAGATAAGTCACCAAACACACAGCTCACATTGCAAAGGTGTGAATCGATTGTAATCGCAGTAACAATAACTACTTTGGACAAAACTCCATTAATTGCCACAGAACCATTGAAACTTACAGCATAGAAGAAGGCCATTTGGCCTATCGTGTCTGTGCTGGTTATTTTAAAGAACAATCCTTTCGGTATGCATTCTCTTTTACTTTAATAAGAAAACAATAACTCTTACTTGTTATCGGACGTGCCAGCAAATTGGGTCAACCCCAGTCTGAGTTTCTGTAACTGATGGAACATATCTCTATGGTCCCAAGACCATGTGTGAGAACAGCATTTTAACACAAACATTTACCACATTTTTGGCCACTGAAAGTAAAACTCCAAGGAAATAAATGTACTCTTTCAGTGTACACATCTCCCACTGCAGTGTTGAGCTTTATTATGGTGGGAACATTCACCCCCACAGCCTGACATCATTCCCTGACTACCTCCCACGGTAACTTGGATAAGAGTGCTATATCCTGCTGATGTGACACATCTCATGCCTGAGCCAGAGTGGAACAGGCGAGGATTTATATTAAAGGCTTGACTCCTTTGATTTTAAAATAAAATTACGCATAATTCTTAAATGAAAACTAGAAACGTGATTCTTTTAAAAAAGAGCAAGAATGGAGCCTTTCGACAGAAGCATCCACCAGCGATTTCAGTTAGATTTTTTAAATCAATGAGTGTATATTTAATAACATTTTTTTTAAATTTTGATGGGTTATTACTAAGCTAAAGTGGAACAAAACTTTAACAAATTCGGGCAGATTCATTTTAACACAAGCACTTAGAAGCTCTGGGCTGTACTCGAGAAAAACGTGACCATTGCCTCTCAAAATAACATTAACACTTAACACTTAACACTAGCAGCAACTCAAGGGTGTGGCGTTCAGAACTTGCAGAAATGATGGACCACGCCAAAAAGCTGCACATATCTCACCACACAGTCGTGCTCTGAAGCAGAAACCAGCCTGGGTTGTGAAACTGGGGGTGAGAGGTGGTGGAGGGGGAGAGGATTAAACAAATATATCCTTTGTCATATGGAAAAACAAGTATCTGTACATATTCAGAAAGCCGAACAAAACAATTAAGGGGTGAAACTGTTATGTAACACTTTGTTGAACAAAAACACAGCCAGTTGATGGTCTAATTTGGTGGCCGGTCCATAGGTTTGCCTTGCTCAGCTCCGACACAATGGTTCACAAAAATTCAGCTTGAGCCAACTACACTGGCCATTGAACATTTTTTATTTTATTTTTGAAGGGTTTATTCCCCCCGCAAAGTGATCCGCCAACTGACTAACAACTGGGTTCCTACTAACTATTAGGTAAACAGAGGCATGCGGAGTAAGGAAACTTGCCCAATGTTTCGTCCTGCCTGGGAATCGAACCCGGGTCCTCTCATTTGCGAGGCGTGTGATCTAACCAATACGCTACAGGACCTCACAAATAAGTTATTCTAAATGTTCCTTTCCACCCAAATCTGTTAAAAGTTTTTTTTCTCGATCTGGATAGCTAGAAGAAAGGAAATGTTCAGTATTTTCGTTCTGCGCCCCCGTCTCCCCCCTCCTGACTTTAGTCAGATGCAGACATCTGCTATTTATTAGCACAGCACTCTGCAGCAACAAATCAACCACTGATTTAGGTATCCCGTACATTGTAATCAGGCGGGTTATATTTAGATTTTACATGCCATGCATGCCTGCATATTGGCAGACGAGTAAATTGTCTGCAACATCTTTGATGAACCAGACCCAAGGTTCTTGTGTAACACTGAATGTCTCCAATGTGACACACCAATATTTCTGATCTAGCTCTAGGCATGAACAATGCCAAAACATAGTCATCACATTGAAATAAATTAAAGCGTTCTGCAGAGATTTATATTTGCAGTTAATGCTGACCATCCATAGAGGCACGGAATTTGGGATTAAAACTACAGTAATACGAAAGCCTGCTCAATTTGCTCTTGTCATGGTAAATAAAATGCTAATCATTAAAGGAAGCTGCATTGGCTGGATGCATAACATATTTATCTTTTTCCCTGGTCGTTATAAGGGGTGGGGGGGGGGGGGGGGGTGGAATTGCAAAAGGAAGCGGTTGTTTCACCCAATAAACCATCATTTTTATTGTTATCAATCCTGGTCCCGTGTAGAAAGTTGTCTGCTGGACTGGTTACAATTAGCATTCAATCATATTGCATATCGCAAAATGATTGAGTGAGTTTGTGCAACTTACATTGCAAGAAGCGTTCAAATTCACAAAGCCTTTTGTTGACTGGATCACCAAATCATCCTCTTTCAGCAAAAATCAGTAAATGACTGTCCTTGTAGATTGTGTCCAGGCTTGAGTTGTCCGTCCCTACTTGAAACAAAACTTTTCTTTCAGATTAGTGCTTTATTTGATAAACAGAAGTTTATTAACAATCAATTGATAACTCTGCAGGAAGATCTCTGTATCATTGTATTCTTATTCTGTTTTCGCCTACAAGTACAGGGTCACTTGCACTGCATAATAAAAATCTGGTGAAGCACTCTGAAATATTATGATGACATGATAAGACACAATATAAAATGCAAGGATTATTATTATTTATCCTGCATTATTTTCAACAAGAGAGTGGAAAAGGATATTTATATTCAGCAGCTTACACCTACTTGCCATTGGCGCTTCTAAACTGATCCTTATAGTTATGTCATGACAAATTTTAAAATTATAAAATTATAATCGGTTCACCTACAGTTTGGTTCATTTCAAATTTTCTAAAGTCTTGCAATAAAAAAATCTTGCCTACATGCCAGTTTCATCAATGTTTCTTTTAATTCTTTTGAGATTGACACATTTCCAGCTTTCAAAATACGTGCAATGTTTTGTAAGGCTTAAGTATAATGTGTAACAGTTATTGTGGAGGAGAATCAAATCTTTTTTTTTATAAATGCTTAGTAATTCTGGAATAAATATCTAACCTGATGTGCAATTTGTGACATTATCCAAGGAAAACAATGTTGAGGCCCAGAACTGCTGTGAACTACTAAACGCATGCAAACAATGAGGTAGGTGGCTTTAACTACAGAACTTTAGAGCACAGAAAAAGACCATTACAGTACTGGTAAGGAATTGAGTTCACTGTAGAGCTGGGAAACCTTACTGTGCACAATGGGCAAGCTACCTGTCTGCTGTTCTTCCATTGATTGCAGAGGATCCATTGCCATCAGAGACGAGCTGAACTCCCATTTGTTTGCCTCCTGCAGCCATACCCATCCTCCTGGAGCTCACTGCAGATTCCTGCCAATGAAATAAAGCAAATCCAGTTCAGACTCTCCGTGAGACAGGTGAGATTCGCCCTATTGACGATGTGACGTTGCAAAAGTGCAGGCACCCACATCATTTAGAACGAAAGCATTGCAATCTATTTTGCACAAGTATTTATTTATTTATTCATGGTGCATCTGCCTACAATCTAAAAGAGTTGGGTTTCGTTGTGTCAGGGCATTCTTGAAATGGTTCTGCAATAGGAGACAATGCCATTGATCTACTGAGACATCATCATACTTGGCAGTGCTCAAATAACAAGCCTCCTTGTGTGAGCAGCTTATATGAGTTTGCCAGGTGGATCATTCTCAATCTGATGCAATTACGTTTTTCTGTAACATACAGGAAATATTACGACAAAAAAATGTAATTTCAGTGTTACATTTCTGGATACATTTTCACACAGGAACAGAACACTGTTGCAGCCAAATTAGGTTGTTACAAAATGTGCAAACGCAATTATAAGCAGCTGAATTCATGTTGAATGAACTGGAGTGCTATCTGGGGAAAGTAACCATAGTAAGCACTGCATTGTGGTGGTCTCAAAACCAGTTCCAAAAACATCAGCACCGCAGCTTCACATGTCTCCTCAAACGCCTACTATTCATTTATAAAGCCTGAGACAGCAAGTGTTGTTGCTGAAATACAATACCACAGGCAGCAGGCACTCTCATCAAGCGATTCTTCATGTGTGAGTCTTGATAGTGTGTTATGCCAGGCAATTTAAACAGGGATGTACCAAAGTCAGTATCTGTCATTCCAGACATCCACACTTTCCAACCATTGTTACTTGATTAGGAAGCTTGTCTAATTTTTTTCCTTCTTCCAAGTCCAGCAATGCTAACCCTGGTGATTTTTTATTACAATGTGGCCCACGAAACAAATCAAGGATTTGACCTGGATCCCACCTGATCTGTGTGTGACTGAATACTTGGCTGAGTGCTGCAGTCATCTACAAACCACTCAGAGAATCTCTTGACTTGAATTCTAATAAACAGAAAAATATGTATGATATCAAGCAATGTGACACAAAATCTAATTAATCGCTGGCAATGGCAATAACAGTCTGCAGTGGATGTGAACAAAGCTTTGTTTTACTGGAAGAAATTAGTTCCATAAAATCATTCTAAAATATTTCCAATGTTGCGTCACACAAATAGAAAGCCTAAAGGCAAAACAATGAAGCTTACTGTGGTTTTGTTTGGCAAATACGCAAAGTAAAACATACTGCATAACATACATTGATCTGCTTGTTGTAGGAGTCAAGCATCAAGTGCCTTCTGTTAGAAAATATGATGTCCCACCCTTTGAAATTCTTGCTACTGAATTGTTAACATAGATCAAGCAATGCATACTGATCTACAAATGTTGGTGTTTGATTTAGAGGTATCAGTAATGGATTTGTACTAATTCATTGCTCAATTCCGTCTGTTCCAGACGACATAACTTACTGCAATCTACAAACAGGGGCACTCAACAAGAGTTTGGAGAGACTCTGTTCATTAGAAATTTAAGTCAATGCTCTTTCAATGCCCTTTTCTAGGATTAGCTGGCAGTGGGTACTGTTTATAGAAACTTGTGAGAAATATAAAACTAGCTCACCCAACCACAAGCCATCAACATCCAAGTCAAATAGTAAGAGTTTATGTTATACCATTCATTTGATATCATTCATGCCTCATATTTTGATCCTTGTAAAGTTTTATTCTCAATTCAGCATACTTGAATTTGGTTATGTGTGGTGGGCTGCTGATAAGATTTCCAAGCTGTTTTATTGTCTTATTTTTAAGTTGTTATATTGACAAAGTACAATTTAAAAGGCAAAAAAAAGTTACCTTAAAAGAACATTCTTGTCCGATTTTCTTTTCAGCTTCATCATTTGCACTCTGTTTCAATTCACTGGGAATCCCAGGAACCATGAAATTAGAAATTTTATGGTGGGCTTGTGACACGCGTATTGGGTGTGACTTGGGGTCATTTGTGGTCAATTCAGAGGCACATTGAGTCAAGCCATCCACTGAGGCAAGATACTTCTCTTCCGCATTACTTCCATCATCAGGATTCTTTGAATTGCAAAGCAAAATGTTCTGGAGATTACCCCAAACTTTCTGGATTTCTTGTTACTTCTACCTGAAGTGCTTTTTCGACCCATTTGGGAAGGAGATGCATCCTTTTTTTTCTTGCTGTTGCTACAAGAGTAAAGCATCTTGGTGGAGTCCTTCACTCCACCCTCCTCAGCCTGACAAAGCTCTCTTTTTATTCCGTTGGTACTGAGCGGAGATATTCTAGAAATATACACGGAGAAGGATATTGAAACAAATTAGGCATTTTCCATATAACAAAAATACTTTGTATCTGGTGAAGAAATGCTTACTGCCTTTATTCTGTGCGATAAAGCCAAGTGCTTCATCATGACTTACTGGAAGTGTTTTCAGTCTCCATTCACTTCTTCCTTTCATTTTATTGTCTTTGCTGTTAGAAGCAGATTATAATAGTCCAGGTGTCTCTCAGCACAAAGGCTGGTCATAGGAAATGGAACCTGACCATGTGGATTATTCTGTCGACATCCTTTTCATTGATTTCTGCTCAATTTTTATGTAATTCCATACAATTACTTCCGTACAAGGTTCTCCCACACAATTACTCCCATTCTGCAGATAACAACAAATTGCATTTATATAGTATCTTTCATGTCGTGAGGTTGTCCCAAGGTACTGGCTAAACAAAATAAATTCTTTATATATGTGTATATATATGGATATTGTATATTAATAACTATTGGGCCTGATAATGTTCTCCAGCTTTCTCTTTGGTCCCTCTTGGTCTGGTAGCCTTTATTTTTTCTGTTGTCACAATGTGCCTTTGTACTATTGTACTCTGTTGTACTGTAGAAATTGATTAATTCATTTTTAAATAAATGAAAAGATCTAAATATCCATATTAATCAAAAAAACGTTTGTGCGTTCACTCCATAATGGATATTAAATGAGCATTTGTGACCCATTTATACTGGTGATACATAAAAAGAAATACTAATAATAATGCTTGGATCTGATATATCCATATTAAAAATGCATTTGGTATGGCAATTTATCACGCATGTATATTGGTAAATGCTGGGAGAATAGTAACCAAACAGCAGGAATTTCTGCAATGCTGAACAGTTTAGATATTCTGTGCTGTATCTAAATACTGAATATTTCTACGTGGAAGGCACAGATACCTTCCAAGAATTGATGGCAGACAGGGTTAATATTTGTTTCGTTATCCCAAGTTGATACATGTCAACCATAAAATGTTCTTTTGGGTTTCATTCAGTGTAAGAGTTCTCAGAATATCTTACTAATGCATTCTGCATTGAAACAGATTCGCTTAATAGTAAAAAAAATGACTTGTCCCTTTGACAGTAATATTCAATAAGAAAATATAAATGCTCAAATCATTTCGGTCTCAGCTTTTACCCCAATGGCTATAACTAGCTCTTCAATGCTGCAGGAAGATTCATTCATTCAGTCAATGTTTAAACGTTTGGAATCTTAAGAAATTAGTGTACATGTAGATATCTAAAAAAAAAGTCTTATTTGTGTAAATAGCAGATGATAAAAAATGAGCAAATTGTGGAGCTCAGGAAAAAAGAGCTATGAGCATCTGGCAGGCAATGTGTTCATTACTTGCACGGCCAACAAAAAGTAATGATATTAAGTATTGTCTTAAAATGTGTGTGTTAAAGATACTTGTTCTGCTGGTTCACATTAGGGTCTAGCAAGAGATATCTGATGCAGCGATCAAAATGAAGACTATCTGGCTGATGCAGCAGGTTAGTGTGAAACTGCCTAATTTCAAGAAGTGTACAAAATTGATATGATTAAATGAAAATGTGTGTGTACGATGTGAAAATTCAAGTTGAAATAGGGAAAGTTAATGTACTTGACCAGCGGATGAAAACGTAATGAAATCAAATCACAATCTTCAGAATGATGTTGGAGCAAATCCTTGCATTTGATATAGTGTCTTATCACATTGTTG